TGCACACACAGCTCTCATTGTCTACTGTCTTAAAAGGGCAGATAATCACATCTGCATATTCCTACAGGGACAATTCCTGGGCTCAAAACTATTCTAAATGAGTTGATTAGTACTTTTCACATAATAATATGAAGATGGGCATAGGGCTTTTCTCTAAACTTCCTGTAAACCCAAAAGTGACTAAGAACCTTTTAAAGTTTTCACAAAAACTCTATTTAACTACATCAAGAAATATTTTATGATTAAGAGGTTATAGACTGAATACAAAATCTGAGGTTTGAGTGTGTGCGGACTACAACTTAGTCTCCTAAATCACACTGAGCACCGGCAACCACCCAGCACTGTGCTAAGAGAATGAACAGAAATGAATCAAAAAGGCCCTTCCCTTAGAGCTTCCAACCCCATGAATTTCACAAAGTTGGCACCAAAGCTAATGTGGCAAATTCATATAATAGGAGCTATTCATATGAAATTTTACTTTAAGGCCATCTGCTATCATCCTGTGCTCAGCATGTTTTTTTCTGCCATTGATTTTCTAGAAGTGTACTCTTAGAGTATTAAATATCTAATCTCCAATCTCTGCTGTGAATTAAGAACTTAATTTTAATTCTACTTTCCCCTCTACATGGGAGTAAATTAAATACTGCTCCCTGTCAGCTGACTACAGAGTCCCTTCTCCCTGGACCACGCCTACGATGAGAAAAGGTGTGTTGTACTATAAAACGATAATGTTCCAGACTTTGGTCCATGATCCAACTCCAAGAATTTTTTTTTTTTTAAAGATGGGGTTTCACCATATTGGTCAGGCTGGTCTTGAACTCCTGACCTCAGGCGATCTGCCCGCCTTGGCCTCCAAAGTGCTTGGCATGAGCCACCACGCCCGGCCAGAACTTCCTTATAACACCTCCTAAGAAATGAGTTCACAGGAACGTGAAAGCAAGACAGCTGTGTGAATGCGAACGGCAGTGCAAGTTAGGAAGCAAAAGAACAAACACGCAACACTCGGAAACTCTGTTTATCACGTTAGTTCTTATAAAAATGAACGAAGGAAACAACTTCTCATTTTAGTTGCTACTATAAAGACATTTAATTATTTCATAAACCCTTCATCTTGTATTAAAATATAGCAATCTAAGCCAGGTGTGCTGGCTCCTGCCTGTAATCCCAGCACTTTGGGAGGCTGAGGTGGGCGGATCACAAAGTCAAGAGAGCAAGACCAGCCTGGCCAACATGGTGAAACCCTAACTCTACTAAAAATACAAAAATTAGCCAGGCATGGTGGTGCACCTGTAATCCCAGTTACTTAGGAGGCTGAGGCAGAATTGCTTGAACCTGGGAGTCAGAGGCTGCAGTGAGCCGAGATAACAACACTGCACTCCAGCCTGGTGACAGAGTGACATTCTATCTCAAAAAAACAAAACAAAACAAAAATCACTGGTGTATTAGGTTTTCTGTCCCTTGAAATAGTTTTGTCTATCCCTGATCAACCATACCAGACTTCTTCCAGATTCTATGAACTTTGGACTTCTGTGGATACAATTTCCTCTGCCTGAAACACTGTTACTACCTCCTGTTCCTTGTCTGCTTTCACCATTCACCTGTGGGCTGAAATGTTACTTTCTCAGGTAAGTCTTGGTTGAGCCCTAGCTGAGGTTAAATACACTTGCTATTTATTCTTATGCCCTCCCTCAGTTAACACTCACCACATCTTATAATTACTGGGTTAATACCTGTCTCTTCCACCACACTACATACTCTTTAAGAGCAAGTATCTGATTTGTCCACTGTCATCGAAGTGAGCGGCACTCAATATACACCCAATAAACATTTGCTCAGTGAACAATAATGCCACAACCCTTTAGTGTTCTGGACCACACCTCGAGTATGTCTTGACCTTGTATGAAGTGACTCCTATGAACTCCACAACAAGTTCTACTTCTGACAGATACTCTCACAGTGTAAATTGTGTTTCTCTCCCTTTTGCCTTTGCACAAACCTGCAAAGCGCCAACTTCTTGAACAAATCTGCGTAGTTCTTTCCACTACCACTTCATGTTCTCATAATACACATAGATACTAGAGAGGTGCTATGTGTATTCTCGGAAACTTTTTTAAAAAGTAGATCTTTCACTAATATGACTTTTTTTTTTTAATGGAGTCTTGCTTTGTCGCCCAGGCTGGAGTGCAATAGCACAATCTTGGCTCACTACAACCTCTGCCTACCAGGTTCAAGAGATTCTCCTGCCTCAGCCTCCTGAGTAGCTGGGATTACAGGCATGCACCACCAAGCCCAGCTAACTGGTTTTTTTTTTTTTCTTTTTTTTTGAGATGCAGTTTTGCTCTGTCACCAAGCTAGAGTGCAGTGGCGCCATCTCAGCTCACTGCAACCTCAGCCTCCCAGGTTCAAGCAATTCCCCTGCCTAAGCCTCCCAAATAGCTGGGACTAAAGGTGCACCCAGCTAATTTTTTGTATTTTAGTAGAGATGGGGTTTCACCATGTTAGCCAGGATGGTTTCAATCTCCTGACCTTGTAATCCACCCACCTCAGCTTCCCAAAGTGCTGGGATTATAGGTGTGAGCCACCATGCCGGTCTAATTTTTATATTTTTAGTAGAGGCAGGATTTCACCACGCTGGTCAGGCTGGTCACAAACTCCTGACCTCATAATCCTCCCACCTCGGCCTCCCAGTCCCGGGATTACAGGCATGAGCCGCTGGGCCCGGCCTACCTTTTTTTGAGACAGAGTCTTGTTCTGTCGCTAGGCTGGAGTACAATGGCACAATCTCGGCTCACTGCAGCCTCTGCCTCCCAGGTTCAAACCATTCTTCTGTCTCAGTCTTCCAAGTAGCTGGGATTACAGGCACCTACCACCATGTCCAGCTAATGTTTGCATTTTTAGTAGAGATGGGGTTTCACCACACTGGCCAGGCTGGTCTCGAACTCCTGACTTCAGATGATCTGCTTGCCTTGGCCTCCCAAAGTGCTGGGATTATAGGTGTGAGCCACCATGTCTGGCCATGACTATTATTTTTCAGGGCTGGGACGCCTTAAAGGTACTTTTTTTTTTTAAGGAAACCATAAGAAACACACAAACTACATTATCTGAATTCTGGCCATGTACAGGAAGACATTCTTAAAATATTTTAAAAGCCCCTGATTTTAAAGTGAACACAACCTTTTAAAGGCATTACAAGCCGGGTGTGGTGGCTCCCGCCTGTAATCCCAGCACTTTGGGAGGCCAAGGTGGGCAGATCACCTGAGGTCAGGAGTTCAAGACCGGCCTGACCAATATGGTGAAACCCCGTCTCTGCTAAAAAAATAAAAAAAATAAAAAAAAATTAGCCGGGTGTGGTGGCATACGCCTGTAGTCTCAGCTACTCTAAAGGCTGAGGCAGGAGAATCGCTTGACCTCAGGAGATGGAGATTACAGTGAGTGGAGATCGCACCACTGCACTCGAACCTAGGCAAGAGAGACTGTGTCTCAAAAATAAATAAATAAATAAATAAATAAAAGGCATTACAAGTTCCTGCTGATTTACTGCTCTCTGTCCTCATCCTTCATAGCCACTGAAGGTTCTACATGCCTAACTCATTTTCACAAATACAGCACTTTTGTCATATTGTGGAGTTAAAAGAAATGGGATCCCCAGAAGGAGGTAGTGAGATATTATAAACAAGAAATAGGGCAGGGGTGAGGGAAGAGAGAGCATCAGGAAGAAGAGCTAAGGGATGCTGGGCTTAATACCTGGGTGATGGGGTGACCTGTGCAGTAAACGACCATGACACACATTTCCCTATGTAACATATATGCAAATCCAAATACTGCACATGTACGCCTGAGTTTAAGATAAAAGCTCAATGAAAGAAAAAAAAAAAAAAAAGCAAGAGCTCTAGGTGATAGTCTCAGTTTTACTGATTCACTGGGTAATCTTGGATCAGTCTTATTGACTCTTAAGTGCCCAGTAGAGGTAATTCCCAAGACGCCTTCCAAATAAACTATTTTGCTACCAAATCAATTTGCTTTCTTTTTTTTTTTTTTTAAGGTGGGGTTTCACCATGATGGCCAGGCTGGTCTTGAACTCCTGACCTCAGGTGATCCACCCACCTCGGCCTCCCAAAGCGCTAGGATTACAGGCGTGAGCCACAGCGCCCGGCACAATTTGCTTTCTTAATGATTTAGCAGACATGATCTTGGTGAGTATATGAAAAACTATATAATTACAAGTATTCACAGGATATCTGGTATTTGCCTATCAGTTTCAGATCCTACGAAAGTTTAAATGAGTCTAATACATGGTTCTTTAAAGATCTACAAACCAATGTGTATTTTGGAAAAGCTAGTTATTGCGTGAGGAGGATGGGTTTTAGAAGGTGAGCCTTTCCTGTATGTACTGTCTTTCACATTTTATTCGGTGCCCGCAATGAATTCGGAAGATGCTGTGTAAAAACCCAGACAGGCCAATATGACAAGATGGTTTTCACCGCCACTCCTCCTATCCTTACATCTCTTTTCAAACTGTTCTAGAACCGGATAAAAGATCTCCAGAGAGCAGCGTCAGTCAGCTGCACAAATGCCTGTGTATTACAACATACACAGACATATCTGGGTTTGTCCAGCTCTTCCGAGCAAGGACGGCCTAATCCGGGCTTTCCACACCTCTAACAGGCTCGAGACCAACCAAACGCCCGCGGAAAGGCTGGAAGCACCTCGTAAGGGTCCCCGCCTGGCCTCTCCAAAGCAGACGCCCACCTCTTCCTTCAGTCCCCTGGGGGCGACCGCCCTGCCCCGCCCCCGCCGTCGCGGGCCCGCCCTGACCTCCTCGAACTGCTCGCCAGAGCCGCCGGCTCCGCGAGCCTCCAGCAGCTCCCGGAACTGCTCCAGAGTGACAGACTCTTCGCCGCGCCCCAGCCGCTCTTCCAGCCAGCGAAACAACGCGCCGCGGTGCCTCGACACCAGCGACTCGCAGGGGGGTGTGGGCAGCAACGCGGCGGCAGCCTCCCGCAGCCTGGCCGGCTCCAGCAGCGCCGCGGCGGGTGGTAGCGCCGGAGCCGCGAGGCCCGGGCCGGGGGTCGTGCCCGAGACCGTGGCCCAGTCCTGGTGGGGGCCCCAGCCCTCTCCCCCGGCGGCCGCCGCTTCGTCTTCACTGCTGTGACTCGGAGCGTTCCCCATGGGGTCTCCGTCTTGGGCGCCCGGCTCTGCAGCCGCTGCCGCCTCCCCGCCTCGACCTGTCAACCTCCGACAGCAGCCGGCGGGCGGGGACTGGCAGGAGACCGCGGCTGCGGCTGCGGCTGCGGCTTCCGGCTTCCTGGCCGTCGAGCGAGGACCGTTGTCGCAAAGATGCCGTCACGTAGGTAGGCAGTCTTTAGCAGCTCGCGACAGCTAGGCGGCAGCAAAGAGTGCAACCTGCATTTCGCAGAGGACGAGTCTGTCTCAACGTTCACGTCATTCCGCAGCCTCCGCTGCCGCCATCTTTGTTTCGGCAGACAGCCTGCAAGCCGGGAAGTACGAGAAGGGCCGGGCGCTGTGGCTCACACCTGTAATCCCAGCCCTTTGGGAGGCGGGTGGGTCACCAGAGGTCGGGAGTTCCAGACCAGCCTGACCAACGTGGTAAAACCCTGTCTCCACTAAATACAGAAAACTAGGCGGGCGTGGTGGCGGGTGCCTGCAATCCCAGCAGGAGAATCGCTTGAACCCAGGAGGCGGAGGTGGCAGTAAGCCGCGATTGGGCCACTGTACTCTAGCCTGGGCGACAAAAGCGAAGATTCTGTTTTTTTTTAAAAAAAAAAAAAAAAAAAAAAAAACGAGGAAAAAGTCGGAGTCTGACTTTTCGCCAGAGACACAGGAATACAGAGAGACCGAGAGACAGGGCGCGGGCCGATGACGTCACGGTTGGCGTCGCCGCCATCTTAGTTTTGGACCGGGAGGCGGCAACTTCGGAAGTGCGCTGCGGCTGCGGTGGTTGAGATGCTGAGGCTCGGAGGCCGCAGGGTTTTGCTGGCCCTGGCCGTAGCCGCGGCAGCGGTGATGGCAGCACGGCTGACGGGCTGGTGGGGTCCCCGAGCTGGCCTTCGCCTTTTCGTACCGGAGGAGCTGTCCCGCTACCGCGGCGGCCCTGGGGACCCGGGCCTCTACTTGGCGTTGCTCGGCCGTGTCTACGATGTGTCCTCCGGCCGGAGGCACTACGAGCCTGGGTCCCACTACAGCGGCTTCGCAGGTATCGGCGACGCTGCTCAGGCCTTTCCCTCCGCCGGCGCGAGCCAGTAGCCACCTGCGCGTCGTTCGTTCGTTCGTTATTCGTGTATCTTGTCCGCCACCCGCATCCCTCGAACCCGCGCGGGGGGCGGGACTGAGCTGCACCATCCTTCTGGTCTCGGTGGCCAGCTCTGTCATTCACCACCGCCCTGCGTTACTGTTGGATTAACGTGTCTTCTGTCTCTTGTTACCCATTACCCACCGTCGGAAGCCCGAGGATACGGGCTTTGTCCCAGACTTCTGTGGGTGCTCTCAGGGCACAGATAAATGAGATTCCGCCCCACCCTCACCGTTGCCTTACTGATTCCACCCATCTCTTCCTTATGCCCGGATCCAAAGCCATCTTTCTTACTCCAACCCCTTAGCATAGTGTTTTCACGGTTCATCCGTGGTTTGTCAGCATGTCTCTACTTAATTCCTTTATGGCCCGTCATGCAGTACATTTGGTCTGAGTCATTCTTGCTTCTAGTACAGATGTACCTGTTTGTCTTTCTTAGAAAAGACTGAGGTTACGGCACAGGTAAGGGCTCCAGTCACCTTTACAGTCCTTCATACGTGGAACAAAGCTGTGCATATGTTAGACCTCAAAGTACGTTTGTCAAAGTAAGTTTGTGCTGGTGTCCCTGTTGTACAGCCGAGGTGATTAAAGGGTGTGATTTGCCTAAGGCCCTCACCCCTGAGAACTGACAGAATTTGGACTCGGACCAAATTCTGTCAGCTATTACAGCTATTACTTTGCCCGCCAGGGGGACTGACTCCCTCCCAAATTTAAAAAGGAAAAAAAAATAAAAATGCAGAGCAAGCCCAAGATCAACTGCTAGGCTGATATTAAATATTTTCCCCTTCTCATTATCTTAGGGGAATTGGGAAGCTTCCTCTAACACTGAAATACAAGCCACTTCCCTCTTTCTAGGGAATGCTTCAGAAATAGAAGGGTTGACAGAAAAGGAATGAAGTCCAGTTGGTCTCGCTAAGCCCCTGAAATAGTCCAGCTGGGGAAGGGACCTACCCAGGGCTACACAGTGAGTTAGAAGCAGAGCTGGGACTGGAATCAAGGTGTTTTGCAGCTGCCAGTTGAAGGTACTCCTTGTTGCACTGCGTTGGATGTATGCACAAGTGTGGGCATAAAACCTTCGGTTTCTGGAGTGCTTTTTATTTTTCACTGTTCTCTGCTGTCTGCTGAGTTTCTGTGCTCCTGGTATTCATTCCTCATCTTTATTTACTGCTGCCTACCTTGTGTCAGGGGCTGTGCAATCCAAGATGTCTGTAACATGCTTCCCACTGCCCACACAGGCTAGCTGGGAAATAGTTACTTTCACTTATTCATTCATTCATTCAATATTTTGTTTTTCATTGAGATGCAATTCACATGATGTAAAGCCCTTTTAAAGTATACAATTCAGTGGGGTTTGTTGTCATTGTTTTTGTTTTGAGACAGGGTCTGCCTCTGTTGTCCGGGCTGGTGTGCACTGGCATGACTTCTGCCTCCCAGGTGGAATGATACTCCTACTTCAGCCTCCCAAGTAGCTGGGACCATAGGTGCATACCACCACGTCCAGCTCATTTTTGTGTTTGTAGAGATGGCTTTGCACCATGTTGGCCAGGCTGGTCTTGAACTCCTGAGCTGAAGTGATCCACCCACCTGGACCTCCCAAAGTGTTGGGATTACAGGTGTGAGCCACTGCACCCAACCTTTTTTTTTTTTTTTTTTTTTTTTTGAGATGGAGTCTTGCTCTACTGCTCAGGCTGGAGTGCAATAGCGCTATCTTGGCTCACTGCAAACTCTGCCTACCAGGTTCAGGCAGGAGTAGGTGATTCTCCTGCCTCAGCCTCCGAAATAACTGAGATTACAGCCACCACGTCTGGGTAATTTTTGTATTTTTAGTAGAGACAGGGTTTTGCCATGTTGGCCAGGCTGGTCTCGAACTCCTGACCTCAGGTAATCTGCCCACCTTGGCCTCCCAAAGTGCTGGGAAGTGGTGGGATTAGAGGCATGAGTGACCACACCCAGCCCCTACCCCTTTTTTTAAAGAGAGATGGGGTCTCATCTCGTCACCCAGGCTGAAGTGCAGTGGCATGGTCATAGCTCAAAGCCCTGTGCTTAAGCAGTCTTTCTTACTCAGCCTCTTGAGAGGCTGGGATTATGAACATGAGCCTCCATGCCCAGAGTGTGAACATTGTGAATTTGTGATGTCTGTGACACGAGTAATGTTGGATATACAGGTGTGGGCCTTGTGAGACATCTGAGCTAAACATGCAGATGTGGCTATCTTTGCCTGTAGGAGGGCTTTGAAACCACAAGTGTGGATAAGATTGTCAGGTGAGAGGTTGTGGACGGTAATGGACTGCTAAGGCTGGTAGCCACTGAGAGGCTGGAGAGATAGGAGGAAAATCAGATGTGTCGTGGAAGCCAGGGGAGTTGGTCAGCTGTGTTAAATATTGCTGAAGGTAAATAAATGTGACCAATGCCGAAGAGATGTGTGTCCAAGGTCCAGGAGCATCTGCCACAGAGGAGGGAGTGGGGGCCCCCTTTCCCTGGGGGTAGGGAGTCGGGGTTGTCAAGAGATGTTCCTCAGAAAACATTCTGGCTGGGTGCAGTGGCTCATACCTGTAATCCCAGCACTTTGGGAGGCCAAGCTGGGCGGATTGCCTGAGTTCAGGAACAGCCTGGCCACCATGGTGAAACCCTGTCTCTACTGAAAAAAAAAAACAAAAAAAAAAAAACAGAAAACAAGGCCAGGCACAGTGGCTCACGCCTGTAATCCCAGCACTTTGGGAGTAAAGGCAGGGGGATCACGAAGTCAGGAGTTCAAGACCAGCTAGGCCAAAATGGTGAAACCCTGTCTTTACTAAAAATAGGAAAACTAGCCGGACGTGGTGGCAGCGCCTGTAATCCCAGCTACTCGGAGGCTGAGGCAGAGAATTGCTTGAACTCGGGAGGCAGAAATTGCAGTGAGCCAAGATTGTGACACTGCATGACAGAGTGAGAGTCCATCTCAAAAAAAAAAATTAGCTGGGTACAGTGGCAGGTGCTTGTAATCCCAGCTACTGGGGAGTCTGAGGCAGGAGAATCGCTTGAACCCAGGAGGCCAAGGTCGCAGTGAGCCAAGATTGTGCCACTGCACTCCAGCCTGGGTGACAGAGTGAGACACTGTCTCAAAAAAAAAGAAAAAAACCAGATTCTTGAGTTTGTATAGTGTCAGTCATTTACAACTGGATCTGATGGAAAGTTCTCTCCTACAGGCCGAGATGCATCCAGAGCATTTGTGACCGGGGACTACTCTGAAGCAGGCCTTGTGGATGATGTATCTGACTTGTCATTCTCTGAGATGCTGACACTTCAAAGTTGGCTTTCATTCTATGAGAAGAATTACATATGTGTTGGTAAGTAGTCCACAGTTCATACGTGTCATGTGATTGTCTTGGAATGTTTTCAGGGGCCTGAGATTTTTTAGGGATTGGGCTCAAGATTAAAATCTGGAAAACAGCCATGGATTTTTTTTTACTTTAAATTCAGTTTGTTAGCACAGGGCTGAGCCATCCAGAAGGAGATGCACGGGCACCTGTTTCCTCCGCTCCTGGCTGTGGGAGAGGGTTGCTGAGCTGTGTGCTTTGGCCTGGCTGCACTGCGGCCAGTGGCTGCTTGCACCATCCATCAGCAACCAGCTCCGGAAGGGCAGCTTACCTGACTCACTGTGCTGTGTGCAGCTGGCTTCAGCACGCAGGCAGGAAGGCGTGAAGCCTAAGTGTATGTTTCTGCAAGTCCCCTTTTATTTGGTCCTCTGGGAGGAGAGCAGCTTCCTGAGTAAGCTGTTTCCCAGGTGGGAAGTATGCTCATTAGACTTCTGTGGAGGGTACTGTACTTGCTACTTACTGCAGGTACATGAGGGACTCACTTCTCCAGTAGGAAGACACTGAACTGTGTCCTAAACCAGAGGGTTAAAGACACTGGCACTAGGCCCTGTGTGGTGGCTCATACCTGAATCCCAGCACTTGGGGAGGCCGAGGCAGGTGGATCACTTGAGGTCAGGAGTTCGAGACCAGCCTGGCCAACATGGTGACACCCCGTCTCTACTAAAAATACAAAAATTAACTGGGTATGGTAGTGTGCGCCTGTAATCCTAGCTACTCAGGAGTCTGAGGCAGGAGAATCACTTGAACCCAGGAGGCAGGCAGAGGTTGCAGTGAGCTGAGATGGCACCATTGCACTCCAGCCTGGGTGACAGAGCAAGACTCTGTCTCAAAAAAAGAAAAGGAAACCAACAAGGAAAGACACTGAACACTAGATTGCTTCACAAGGACCCGCAGCTGGGATGTTTGCCCCCCTTCTCCCATCGGTCTGCAGCCCTCACCTCTCACTGGAGTCCTACTTGGACATGACTGACTTCCTGAGGAAAGACCATCGTCACTTCATCAAACTACGTCTGGCTTGGAATAATTCTTTCCTTAATGCCTCTGAATTTCTGCTTCTGTCATTACCCCTTGAGTTGCCTTTTCTTAGAACCTTGGCGTTTTTATTCACACCTCTGCTCCCTCACATCCAGTTAGTCGAGGCTTCTTCGTAACATCCAAAGCCTGTGTCCATCCATTGCGGGCCTCTGCCTTTCTTCGTTTTCTCTCAGTCGGCCCAAGAGCATTCGTGAGACCACAGCCCTGCCTGCCATCAAAGGCACTAGCCTCTGCTCACCTGCGCTTCAGAGGGCTCAGTTCTTACCTTTCCCAATGAAGTTGCCAAACCAAGGTTGAAACATTACTGGGTCAATAAAAGAAAACCCAACAGAGAAGAATAAGAGCTGGTTGCAGTGGCTCCCGCCTGTAATCCTAACACTTCGGGAGGCCAAGGCAGGTGGATCACTTGATGCCAGGATTTCCAGACCAGCCTGGCCAACATGGTGAAACCCTGTCTCTACTAAAAATACAAAAATTAGCTGGGCATGATGGTGGACGCCTGTAATCCCAGCTACTATGGAGGCTGAAATAGGAGAATCACTTGAACCCGGGAGGCAGAGGTTGCAATGAGCCAAGATCATGTCACTGCACTCCAGCCTGGGCAGCTGAGCGAAACTCTGTCTCAAAAAAAAAAAGAAGAATGGAGTCCAGGCCAGGCGTGATGGTTCACACCTGTAATCCCAGCACTTTGGGAGGCTGAGGTGGTTGGATCACTTGAGGTCAGGAGTTTAAGACCAGCATGGCCAGCGTGGCAAAACCATGTCTCTACTAAAAATAAAAAAAATTAGCTGAGTGTGGCGGCACACACCTGTAGTCCCAGCTACTTGGGAGGCTGAAGCACAGGAATCACTTGAACCCAGAAGGCAGAGGTAGCAGCAAGCTGAGATTACATCACTGCACTCGAGCCTGAGTGACGGACTGAGACCTTGTCTCAAAAAGAATAAAGTCTTGTAGATGGGCAAAGAATGCCAGGCCAAATACTTGATCTGAGATTTGGGAGCACACTTGAAGGTTCCTGGTATGCTTGGTGTGACAGGTGAACTGGTCTTGTTGTGATGATGTGTCACGCATGAGGATGGGGTGGGGCATGTGGTGGGAAATGCCTCCGGATTTTCATTGATGTTGGGATCTTATTGAATACCTGCTATTCAGAAGTTACGGTTTCCATTCTCGGGGGGGGACCAGGGATGAGTTGAGTACAGTTCCTGCCCCTGTTAGCTGATTCTGTAGGATAGGGGCCATGTTAGGCTCTTTGAGGTCACCAGAAGCCCTCAGGGGATGAAGCTTTATTGTAAAGGCACATGGTGAAGTGAGGACAGCCAGGAAGCCATCTTGGCAGCCACGTGGCCAAGCCCCAAGGGAAAGCAAGATGGCCTTGGTTCTGCTGTGGACACGGGATTGGCTCGGAGACACAGCCAGGGGTGATTGCCGTTCTCATGACACAGCTTCTAGAACTCCTCTTTTCCTCTGCTACTGCTGTCCTGGTGTTGGGTCTCATGTGGAAAACTCACCAAGACAGGCTTGTCACCATGTAACACAGACATCCTAACCCCTGTGATGGGAAGTTCTGCGCCAGGACAACTCAGACTGGAGGCCTGTGACTCGGGCCCTGATCCCTTCCTTTATTCATCTAACAAGTATTTAAAATGAATGTTCTGCGCTAAGCTGTTTTGTTTATATATAAATGTAAGTAAAAGTGCAATGGTGTGATCTCAGCTCACTGCAGCCTCTGCCTCCCAGGTTCAGGTGATCCTGCCTCAGCCTCCCGAGTGGCTGGGACTACAGGCATGCACCACCACGCCCGGCTCATTTTTTGTGTTTTTAGTAGGGGGTTTCATTACGTTGGCCAGGATGGTCTTGATCTCTCGACCTCACGATCCACCTGTCTCGGCCTCTCAAAGTGCTGGGATTACAAGTGTGAGCCACCACGCCCGAACTGTATTTATATATTTTTTGAGATGGAGTCTTGCTCAGTCACCCAGCCTGGAGTGCAGTGGCACGGTCTCAGCTCACTGTAACCTCCACCTCCTGGATTCAAGCAATTTTCCTGCCTCAGCCTCCTGGGTAGCTGGGGTTATAGGCATGCACCACCACGCCCAGCTGATTTTTACATTTTTAGTAGTGACGGGTTTCACCATGTTGACCAGGTCTCGAACTGACCTTAAGTGATTCACCCGCCTCAGCTTCCCAAAGTGCTGGGGTTACAGTTGTGAGCCACTGCACCTGGCACTCGGCTGTTTTGAGTACTGGGCCTCATTAGTAGAAAGAGGCATATCATAAACAGGTAAACAGATTGAACAGCTCCAGGTAGGACCATGCATGAAACCAATTGACATGGTGCATGTCTGGGAGTTCAGCACCACTAGAGCCGATGCTCAGGAGTGGCTTCTGGAGAGGACGACCGTGAAGCTGAGACCAGGCAGGTGAGCAGGAGGCAGCATACGGGGCTGGACAAGAGAGTTCCAGCTCAGGGAAGAGCAGTGCCGAAGGTGAGGAGGGGGGAAGCATGGCCAAGAAATAGACAGGAAGCCGTGAGCTGGAGCCCACAGTGAACGAGGGAGGAAGTGGCTTGGTAAGAGGCTGAAGAAGCAAGTAAGTGAAATGGGTACAGGACCTTAGAGGCCTTGGTAAGAAACTTGCATTTTGTCTGTATGCTTGAAGAAGCCAATGGAGGGTTTTAATCAGACATCGGAGTGACGTGTATGATTCACTACTACTCTCCTGTCTGTGGGACATGCTTGATTCATGTCTTTTTGGGGCTTTATTAATCTCACTCTTGTTGCCCAGGCTGGAGTGCAGTGGCACGATCTCAGCTCACTGCAACCTCCACTTCTCGAGTACAAGTGATCCTCCTGCCTCAGCATCCTGAGTAACTGGGATTACAGACGTGCGTCGCCATGCCTGGCTAATTTTTGTATTTTTAGTAGAGATGGGGTTTCTCCATGTTGGCCAGGCAGCTCTCGAACTCTTGACAACCTTGTGATCTGCCCACCTCAGCCCCCTCAAAGTGCTGAGATTACAGGCGTGAGCCACCGCACCCAGCTCTGATTCATGTTTTTAAAAGATTCCCTAGTTGTTTTATGGACAAAGAGCTCTAGGAGGGCATGAGCTGAGGCAGAGAGAGCAGCTGGGAGGCCACTGCCACCGTCCGTGGTTTGGAGGAGGGTGGTGGCGGTGGAAATGGAAAGGAGTGAACGGAATCAGGATCTGTTCAGAGGAAGGACCGACAGGATTCTCTGATGGGTCGGATGGCAAGGAAGGGAGTGTGCGTGTGGATGCCGAGGAGGAGGAGTCGGCGCCAAGGCTCCTAACCCCAGAAGCAGGCTAGAGGCGACATGGATTTGGGAAGGTCAGGGAGGCCGTTGGAATTGAGAGCATGTGCTGAATCTCGCGTATGCTGAACATACGTGCCACTAGAATCGAAGTTGCAGCTAGTCCTTAGGGGCTGGAAGTGAGACAGATCGGTTGATTTCCATACTAAAGGACTCCACAGCTAGAACAGGGCTGCTGTTGCTTGCGGCCTTATAGGATGTTAAGAGGCGGGTATGCCAGGCACCAGAAATCCCTGCAGTGTAAGTTCCTAATAAATGCGCACCTGCAGGCCTGAAGCTGGAAACCCTGGGAACGTGTGCTTTCCCAGCCTGCGGCAGCAGCTGAATATCTGTTCACGCCTCACTCTCACTGTTACTCTGATGTCTGCCTTGCTGTCTTCACAGGAAGGGTGGTAGGACGGTTCTACGGAGAGGATGGGCTGCCTACCCCGGCACTGACCCACGCGGAAGCCGTGATCAGCAAAGGCTTGAAGGCAAACCAGCAGGAGCTGGAAGAGAAGCAGACATTCCCGCCGTGCAATGCAGAGTGGAGCTCAGCCAGGGGCAGCAGGCTCTGGTGTTCCCAGAATAGGTAAGCATGCTCCCCTTCTGTTCTTTCTGCCTCTGTCTCAAACCCACCTTCTGGGTCATCCTGTTTACATTACTCAGTGAATTCAGGAACTGGATGGTTAACCCGTGGAACTTTTTCAAAATTCTGTTAAGCATTCCCAACTTCAGCTGCGTAGGAGATCTGGGGAACGGCAGAAATGACAGCTGGTCAGACCTCACTTCAGTCAACAGAGTGAGAATATTAGGGTCGAGACTTGGACCTGAGGCCTGGGCATTTTTATGTTTTCCAAATTCTCCAGAGATCCTGCTGACACCACCTCCGCCCAGGAATGAGGAGGCACGGGCCCAATTTCTTGCTTTCTCTGCTCCGTTCAGCCGTCCCTGGGTTTGGTTTCCTATTTGACAGCACAAATCCTGGCTGTCTGCAGGAGAGACGGGCAAGGAGGTGGGGACAGCACGCTCAGGGATGGCTTCTGCCACTGTCTACAAAACAAGGTGAGCTGGCGTGGTGGCACACCTCTGGTCCTGGCTACTTGGGAGACCGAGGCAGGCAGGTCGCTTGAGTTCAGGAGTTGGGAGTCCAGCCTGGGCAACATAACAAAAAAATAGTCACAACAGCAGCAACAAAAACACTGCAGATTTGGACTTCTCAGCCTTAAGTGAGGGGAGCAAGGGCAAAGGTAGCAGGGAGGAAAGGCCTTCTTTCCTGGCCACTAGCTTTGAAGAGACAGCTTCTCCAACGTCATCATCTCAAGAAAGAGGGGAGGGACTGAGATCCTGGCCTGCTCACTTCACGGAGAGAAGCTAAGATACCGGGGGTCCTTCCTGTGACCCAGGCCTGAGTGCAGGTGGCCCAGAGAGCACTGGTCCTCCAGAGGAGCCTCCAGGAGGCCTGTGTGCGTTCAGATGCTCAACTCTGCATGTCTGGGGCCTGCCTCCTTTTCCCTCCCCGCTGTCTGCTGAAGCCCTTCTCGCTTTCATGACTGAGAAGTTCTGGCTCTGCCTTCCCACAGAACCCTCCAGAGCCGCCCTGGGGAGTGGAGGGCCCATCCCTGTGCCTCAGCTCAGCTTGTTGCTTTCTGTTCACTCACGTGTGTCCCCCATCAGACTGGGAGGAACAAGCGCCAAAGGCAGGGGCCAGGCTTGGAGTCAGGCCACCCAGGATGGCATGGAGGCTGGGTGGAAGGGGGGACATTTTGGTGACGGCCTTACTCTTGGTAAGCTAGAAGTCAGGTGTTTCTCACTGGCTGGCAGTTTCTCTGACAGCAGTCGGTCTGCTTGCAGGCACTGGAACCTGTATGAGGCATCAATTCTAAGAACCTCATTTTCCTTTTTCAAGGCCTGTGAGTCCATGAGAGACTGAACCCAGGACCCTGAGATGAGCTGGGTCCCTCTGCCTGAGGTAGGAGGTTGCTCAGGTGACGCTGGGCCAGAGCTGAGTCCTCCATGTCTGAAGCCTGGCGTCATCAAGGACTGGACCTGTCGGGGACAGGCCAGCTTGCAGCTACACCCTGTGCCAAGGGCTTCCCAGAGAAGGCCGACTCAGGTGGCCAGGGCACAGCAGCCAGTTGCCTACCCCCACCCAAGTGCCCCAGAGAAGAACGTGAAGACACTGGCCAGTGCTGGGTTGTAGAGGGGAAGGAGGAAGTCACACCCAGACCCTGCTTCTGAGAAGCTCGCTGGCCAGCAGGGAACTTTTCTCAGCTGCTAGCAGCAGTGCAGGCACGTGGTGCCGCCTCCTAGGACGGGCGGGGTAGGGCTGGGGAGCAGCAAAAGGAGCCGCCGTGGACTCTGCCCATGGCCTGCGCAGGCTGGAGGAAGTTAGGAGAGAGCATGAAGGCTCGGGCTGAGCGCCGTGACCTGCTAGCTTGGGAGACACTCTCCTGTGGGCTTCTGCTTTTCACACGGCCCGGCTTACAGCTTCCTGCTCTCCTCTGCCCAGAGACTCATGAGTTCTCACATTTAAGAAGTCCTCTTTCCATCTGTCCATAGCGGAGGTGTGAGCAGAGACTGGACTGGTGTCCCCAGGAAGCTGTATAAGCCAGGTGCTAAGGAGCCCCGCTGCGTGTGTGTGAGAACCACTGGCCCCCCTAGTGACCAGATGCCGGACAGCCCAACACACGGAAATCGTGGGGACTTGGACCACCCACACTTGGCGGAATACACGGGCTGCCCACCTCTCGCTGTCACGTGCTCCTTCCCGCTCTAAGCGGAGCCTTTCATGTGGCTGACACACAGAGCTCTGCTGAGAACCTGAGCGGGCCCTTGACACACGTGTGGCCTGGGATGGCCCCTGGCCTGAAACAGGAGGGTCTGGAAAGACTCTGGCTATATTCTGCAAATGTGACTCTTGCCCCTCTCCTTGGCTTAGTGCCGTGGGACCCGAGGGACAGCTCAGCCACCTGCCTAGTACTGGTCGGCGGCTCACCACTACATCCCTCGACCCACTGGTCATCTTCCTCAGAGCCCGCAGATGTCAGTGAGCATGTCTATTATCAACTGAATTTCAACTTGAATTTATACCCGAAAGCCTGCTGAGCTGATCACAGCTGGGCCAATACAGTAAGAGGCAATAATCACTTAGGATGGTTGATTCTGGAACTGGAAAAGCTTTTGCTTACATGGATACAGCAAATCCAGATGTCTTTGAGCAAAGCAACAATTTAAAACAGGCATTTTCTCTCCTTTAAGGACTTAAAATCAGATGTGGTGTGTTTTCAAAGGCAGAGGTCTGCATTTTGAGCAACAGGTGGTTTCCTAGCTCTGACAAGGTGACTGGTTAGCATGACATTACTTTGGGCAAGGCTGCAGACTTCAGGTGGCTGGGCTTCTGCTCATGCAGCGTGTGTGTGTGTCCAGGGTCATCTGCAATGCCCTACACTTGACAGGCGTCACACCTGTTACCTCTCGAGTCCCTGCTAAGGTAGATGGGGGCAGGGCGTGTTCCCACTCACAGACAAGTAGAGGCTGGCACCACCGCCGCGCCATGGCCTCTGCTCCTCACGCTCAGATCTTCGCCTGACTCCCCGCTCGCCGTCTCACCCTAGACATCCTCCTCTCTCCACTGCCTCCCTTCTCCCCATCATTCATTTCACCAAATCACTTCCAGATTCACAGACTAGAAAAGAGAGGCTGCCCCTCCCCTTCACCAAAGACCTGCGGCTCACTGCCCTTACGGTCACAGCTGTTCCTTGCACTTGGGCTCTGGTTCATGGCTCCTGTCGTCTGCCCCCTCCCCACCCCCATCTTCCTCGCCTGCCCCCTCCCCACCCCCATCTTCCTCGCCTGCCCCCTCCCCACCCCCATCTTCCTCGCCTGCCCCCTCCCCACCCCCATCTTCCTCGCCTGCCCCCTCCCCACCCCCATCTTCCTCGCCTGCCCCTCTTGTACGTTTCCCCTCTCCCCGCCTCCTAGATCTTCCCCAAGTACGCAGGAAACCGCTCACTCCTCCCATGTCATAAACAAACACTCCCTCACCCCCACGGTTTGGGCTTTTACTTACTAGCTTTGCTTTTCAGCCCCAGTTGCTCTAACAATCAGAACAGATTCTGCGTTGGCACATTCCACGGTCACATCCAGCTCCTACCTAAGCTTTGTCCTCCACGAAACCCTCGTTGGCCTTTGTCCTGCTCCCTTTGTCCCTCCACCCACTCCTTCCTTAGTGGCCTTGAGAACCTTGTTTTACCTCCACAAACCCCTTCCCATTGGCTTCTCTCACTCCAAATCCAGCATCAAACCTGCATCTCTGCTCCAGATAGATTTCCAGAGTATTCCATCTGCCCTCCCATGCTGCTGCTAGTTCTCAGAGTGAGGGGTACGAGCAGCCACACTCAGTCACACTAAGAATCCTAGCAGCCGCCCTCCTCCTGGCCCGCCTGCAGGTCCTGGCGGCTGTGCCTGCCTGGTTCTCTCCTCTCCCTTCCCTCTTACCTGTCCCCAGTATTCCTCCTCTGGCTTAGGCTGTCAATTCTCAGTCGGATTACTGAGGAGCCTGACTGCTCCCTCCCTTCAGTTCCTCCTTCTCACTGCTGTGAGACGTCCTTTTTTTTTTTCTTTTTTCTTTTTCTTTTTCTTTTGAGATGGAGTTTCACTCTTTTCCCCAGCCTGGAGTGCAGTGGCATCAGCTCACTGCAACCTCCGCCTCCCAGGTTCGAGCCATTCTGCCTCAACCTCCCGAGTAGCTGGAATTACAGGTGTGCGCCATCACACCTAGTTTTTTGTATTTTTAGTAGAGATGGGGTTTCACTATGTTAGCCAGGCTGGTCTCAAACTCCTGACCTCGTGATCTGCCTGCCTCGGCCTCCCACAGTGCTGGGATGACAGGCGTGAGCCCCCGCACGAGGCCCAGGGCCGTCTTTCTTTTTCTTTTTCTTTTTTTTTTTTTTTTAATTTGAGACGGAGTTTCGCTCTTGTTACCCAGGCTGGAGTGCAATGGCGCGATCTCGGCTCACCGCAACCTCCGCCTGCTGGGCTCAGGCAATTCTCCTGCCTCAGCCTCCTAAGTAGCTGGGATTACAGGCACGCGCCACAACGCCCAGCTAGTTTTTTTTTTGTATTTTTAGTAGAGACGGGGTTTCACCATGTTGACCAGGATGGTCTCCACCTCTCGACCTCGTGATCCACCCGCCTCGGCCTCCCAAAGTGCTGGGATTACAGGCTTGAGCCACCGCGCCCAGCCGGGCCGTCTTTCTTAGTGACGATCAGGGCGTCCCGCATTTGCCCTCCTCAGGGGCTCCCCTCTATAAGGACTCACTGCCACTCCTCTGCTGCGGGGCACAGGAGGCCCTTCTGTGGCCTCTCCTCTTAGGCCTGTACCTTTCCTGTCTCCTCCGCGTGCACCTCCTCTCCAGCCTCCCGCTCACTGCGTTATGCCTGCAGTGTCTTCACACAAGCTGTTTCTTTTGCCTGGAACGACATATCTTCCTCCGTTGAATTAATCCATCCTGTATTTCTTCAATATTCAGTTCATTGAGGCCCCTCTTGGGAGCCTTCATTAACTGTTGGCCTGCCACAGAGGCACTTTCCTTGGCTCCTGTGGCACTATGCTCATACGACAGTGGGCTCTTACGATGCACTTCCTGCCAGCCTCTTGCACTGGACCTCAGATACTCTTGAGGACAGAGCCCCAATGTGACTCAGCGCTGTACCCCTATATCCACTTTACTCAGCACCATATCCTGTATCCCTGTGACTCAGCTCCATACCCCATAGCAACGTGACTCAGCGCCGTACCCCTATATCCGTGTGACTCAGCACTGTACCCCTATTATCAATGTGACTCAGCACCTTACCTCTCTACATCCACGTGTCTCCGCTCCATACCCCTGTATCCGTGTGATTCGGCTCAGTAGCCTATATCCACGCCTCTGCAACGTATCCCTATATCAACGTAACTCAGTGTCGTACCCCTATGTCAACGTGACTCAGCACCATACCCCTATATATCCACTGCACCTAGCATGTGGAAAGTGTGTGCAGTTTTTTTTCTTTCTTTTTTTTTTTTTTGAGACAGGGTCTCATTCTGTTGCCCAGGCTAGAGTGCAGTGGCGTGATCATAGCTCATGTGGCCTCAACCTCCCGGGCTCAAAAAGGTTTTCCAACTTCAGCCTCCTGAGTAGCTGGGACTCTGGGCATGTGGTAACATGCCTAGTGTTTTATTTTTGCAGAGATGGAGCTTCACCATGTTCTCAGGCTGGTCTTGAACTCCTGGGCTCAGTCTGCCCACCTCAGCCTCCCAAAGTGCTGGGATGACAGGTGTGAGCCAAGGAGCGTTTTGGAGATAAGGCAACAAAGGCACATAGAACTGAAGGTCACTGAGCAGGGAGCTGAGCCCAGAACTCCAAGCTCTTGGCACCTAATTTGGTGCCATTTTCACTCCTCCATATTTCTGTATGTCTCTGCAGAACAGAGGAGCTGAAATTAGGATTTTCTTCTGAGTTCTAGGCAGTCCCTGAGCTCAGTGCTGAGACTTCTCTGTTAGCCAAAATAGCCCCCAACTCTGGGCTAACTGGAAACTTCTCTGCCCGACTTAGTACTCGTTAGTTATTCTGCAGGTAACTTACTAAGCACCTACTATGTGCCAGGCATCATGTTTAGGTTGGGGGGTTGGAGAAGCAAGGGTCCTGACCTCAGCGGGGAGTATAGTCTGGTGGAATCAACCCGATTAGAGCTGCCACAGGCTGTTCTTGCGGTAGGAATGCAGGGATAGTGAGGGCCCAGCCCCGAGAAGTTCTGATCCTTAAACGAACTAAGCAAAGGAGCATGAGTCATTCCAGCCAGGTGCACTCTGGCCGTGCCTGGAGGGTACCTACCTCTGATGCAAGACCCCAAGGGCAGGCTCCAGGACAAACGTGGCCGGCTTCAGGGGCCTGCTCAGTGCCTTGCTCAGTGAGAACTGCTTTTTCACACTTACCTTATGGTCCCTGCTGTGAGCCACAATCTGGGCCAAAAGCACACTGAGTTCAGGCAGCTACTCACTGTGTTTAAATAACTACTTTTGGGGAGCTAAGCCATGAGGATATAATAAGCCTAAGAATGATACAGTGGACTCTGGGGACTCAGGAAAGGGTTGGGGAGTGAGGGATTAAAGATGACAGTGTACAGGGCTAGGGTGATGGGTGCACCAAAATCTCAGCAATCACCACGAAAGAACCTACTCATGTAAGCAAACACCACCTGAAACCCAAAAACCGACTCATATTTTAAAAAATAAATTAAAAAGAAATACGTAAAAGAGCTTTTTGGCTGCTGTCAACAGCATGTTCCTGAAAAATGTTGGAATTGGGACTTTCCTAGAGGGTGGCTGGTAAGAAATGTATTCACATCAGGAGTTTTTTAAAATTTGTTTTAATTGGTACTTCTGCATTAGAAGTAACTACAAATGTCTTATTAAAGTTTCCACTTTAAATGCACAATTTTACTTCATTGTAAGGAATTGTTACAGAAAATGCAAATATCAGTTATTTGAAAAATACATTCCATTACACAGACCCCAAAGAAACAATGCTGATAAGCGCCATGGTCATATAGGATACCGTCACCCCGCACTGAGCACTGCCCGCAATGGGCTGGAAGTCTAGGTGACTGGCTGAATGTGTGCCTGCAGTTTCTGCCCAGCTACGGCCCCTCTGGGGTCACAGGGATGTCGTCGTTAACAGCCAGCTCCGCAAATCTGCCAAAAAGGGCAAGTCATCAAGTCAAGCAGTCCCTACTCCAGACTCCCTAGCTGCAGAAAAGCAATGTCAGTTGTAACAGGTTACTGTATTATTTATGCCACACGAAAAAGGGATTGTACAGGCAATGATCTTCCAAACAAAGTCTTTAAGGCATCTGTAACTTCTGGGAATTTCAGGGTTGGTATCTTCAGTCAGCTCTTCACTAAATTACTTCCACAGAGTGAGAAGGTGGCTTCCGAGTCCCGCTGGTGAGCTGTGCCCCTGCTTCCTCTGCTTCCTCTGCTCCCAGGTTGGGAGTGGGGAGCTCTGGTGCTTAAGCTAGTTCTGGGACTTGTCCCAAGGGAAGCAACTGTCTGTCATGGAGGTGTGACCCTTACTTGTTTAAGCTGCTGTCACCTGGGAAGATGGCCTGACTTTCAGGGATAAGCATTACATAGTTCAAAGAGTTCTTTTTCTCCAGATAAAGGAAAACTAGATGGAGGTGAAGGCCCTCCCTTTTCCCAAGATATTCCCTCCACTCCATGCCTGTGGACAAGATTAGTGCAGTCACGGTTCAATACGGCAGGTGTGGGACATGGACGGGAGGAGTGGTGAAACCACACACATGCTGAGCTCCACACAGGGATGTGAGCGAGGGCACGGAACGGGGTGGCCAGAGATGACTCGGGGCTCTGAGGTAGAGGACTCAAGGTCACGTAGACCCCACTCCTTGGAGAGACCGTGGCAGGTGAACTGAGCAATCTAATCCAGCCTCAACTAAATTAGTAATGGGGTTGACACAGCATGTTCTAATACATCATTCAGTGAGATGCCACTAAAAAGATGACTGAACGTTCAGAAGTCCTAAGTGTAGGCACTTAAGTTTATGGGAAATTTCAGTGTTAGAGGATCATAGCAAATTAGTTTCAGCCATAATAGCACGTGGTTTGTACCTTTGTCTTAAAAACGACAACAGAAGACTGCTAAGAATACACTGGATAATAAACCTGGCGATGAGCAAGGGCAGTTCGAGAGCGAACTCAGCCTGACGACGTTAACTGCTGCAAGAAATCAAGTCTCTCTTCCTGCGCTACTCATTCAAGTGGGAACTTCTGAATGAATTAAATGAAGTTTTGGCTACTAGTGCTTAAGCTATGCTGAAAATTTAACAACAGCCAGGCAGTTCTGTATTCAAGTGTTGGCAACAGGGAGAGACGGGAAGGACTGGAAGCATGCCTGGTCCCGGCCAGGGCAGCTATGGCAGCGTCTGCGCAGTCAGGGGCTTCCTAAGCTTTTCCTGTATCCACATGGATGCCAGCTGCAGCCAGTGTGTAACAGGACTAAAAGACGTTCCCGCCGGGCGCGGTGGTTCACGCATGTAATCCCAGCACTTTGGGAGGCTGAAGTGGGTGGATCACAAGGTCAAGAGGTCGAGACCATCCTGGCCAACATGGTGAAACCCCATCTCTACTAAAAATACAAAAATTAGCTGGGCGTGGTGGCACATGCCTATTAGTCCCAGCTACTTGAGAGGCTGAGGCAGGAGAATTGCTTGAACCCGGGAGGCAGAGGTTGCAGTGAGCCAAGATTGTGCCACTGCACTCCAGCCTGGCGGCTGGCGACAGAGGGAGTCTCTGTCTCATAAACAAACACACACACACACACACACACACACAAAACAAACAAACAAACAAAAAAACGTTCTCCTAGTCCACAGCTGCTCAGTACCATTGCTATCCCTGGACTCGGAAGAAACAGAAACTCCAATCAATGTATCTGAAACATGATCTTAAGATTTTAAGTGCAATTACAGGCAAGACTGGTACTGAAATTGGTAAGGTAGGGCATGGGCAGAACAATCAGCCTCACCCCTAACCGATCTCCAGGTTCCTTTTCCATCCTGAACATTTAAAGAACAGGCATCAATGTACCAGCCACTTCAGTTCATACCCGAACCACAATTACCTTCCTAACTCAGGTAACCAAGCTATCTGACCCTGCCTGCCAGCTTCCTCATGGCCCTTTTCAGGCAACAGAAAATGGAAACTGACCACATACCTCAGGGGGTCAAATGTTTGCCAAGACTGGCGGAGGTTTTCCATTAAAAATTCTCTAGGAAACATATCAGACTGGGGGACAGGGGACTCTTCTAATTAAATTTTCTTTTAGACATTGTACACAAGCTTATATTAACATAGAAAGCATATATATCTTATAAATCACAGAAATGTTTTTTAAAGTAGCACTCCAGTTTATCAGCTCCTTTGACACATTTAGGCAACAGAATGTATAAATCTACAGCAACACAGAGGACATAGTACCCAGAAAAGAAACCAATGATGTTGCAAAAAATACTTAGTCCCTTTAACACACATATTCAAACTTCATTAATGCAAAAAGGTAGTGGTTATTAAATGTCTGAGAGGATCAGCATGTATGGCTGAGACTCGATCTCCGAGTATAACACACAGCGCTCACCTCGAGAGTTGTTCTGTTTTAAAGCAGTGGTAGCTGTTTCTCTTTAAATGTGTGTTTTTTAGAAACTGGCCAGACCTTCAAAAGAGAAGTTTAACAGCTCATGGTTAATAGATGTACTAGCAGCGACTAAGACCTAGCAAGTTCTGGTGGCCTCACCCAGCACACAAGCCAGAGACTTCCAAAAATGGGGTGGTATGCACGTGGCCGTGGCCCTGAGCTGCTGGCCCTTCACAGGGCAGGGCAGGCTACATGGAACTGGGGTCAACAGCACTCGCAGCATCACGAGGGAGGATTCTGGCAAGAAGCATTGCGTCAAGGACACAGGACCTGCCGGCCTGAGGCTGGAGACGCCCTTGGGGCTGAAGCCCTATTGATCCTCCTCATCACTCAGCCTGGATGAATCTCTTGCTCTAAAAGACACTACAGAGTTTTTCCTTAAAGATTAGTGTGAGCTGAGGTCCAGTCAAAGCTGATCATTCGAGTCACTGATGCAAGGATGTGTGAGGGTATTTTTGAACGGGGATTTTTAGATTGGGATCACCGATAACGCAGCTCTATAAAAGGGCAGCACAAAGTGCGCTTCCTCCACCACTCCAGCGGCAGAGGGACTAGGACTCCACACAGGACGCAGCAAGACGAGAGAATGAGACGCTGCCACGAGGTGTCAAGCAGCCGGCTGCACCCCTGACACCTGCGTAGCATGAACACTGTAAAGCTTTCAGTTGGTAAGGCCACGATTTTTCAGCTCTCATCTTTGAACCCTGTTAAGAAAGATTTCACCTTTTTAAAAGGCGTAGCTCACTAAAAACAGCTTAGCTTAAAAAGAAAAAAAGACTTCAGGGCAAGAGGATCCTGTTATCTTTATGAAAACACTGTGCAGAAAAGTCCACAGCCACTTACCCTAGAGTGAGGCCAGCTATTAGGCAGCCAGCTTCCTACTCTGTGAGGCTCTGCCGCCTCAGCCAGCCCAGGCAGGAAGACTTCATGAATGCTCTGGGATGGACACCAAGCTACTGGAAGGGAAAACGCTTTTCCAAGTGTCCTTGGATGCTGCTAGCAGAATGGGGAGGGGTCTAATTCCTAATCACATTAAGCACTTAGGCTAAATGGCCTGGTCCAGTGAGACACCTAGTGAAACTGATCACAGTCTGACACACGCACTGACAATCATATGGAATCACTGGAAATGGGATCTATCACACCATGGTCCTTAAATGTTCCAGTCTATTGCTGCAGGACGACGACTGCCAGCTCCTGCTCTGGGGGCAAGTCAGGCTGGTGAGCAGAGCAGCTGCTGGGAAGGTCACCAAAACGTGGCCTGGACGCTCTGGGGGCTCACTAAGAGACCCCACCCAGAGTCAGCACATCAAAGCAAATGTTGCAAACTCGCACAGGCTTGTTCAGATCAAACTTGATGATAGGAATCTCCTTGGTCGAGCATTTATGGCAAAGAAGACGTCCGCAGTGACGACTGTGGAAGCAAAGAAACCAAGTATGAGGGGAGCACTGGCGACAAACTGCCTCCCGGCATGTGAGGACAACCCCAGCAGGGGCGCTGAGGCAACGCCACCAGCCGAGTCACAGCAATTCGTGGAGAATTTTTAGCCCATGAAAACAAAACTCTAGTCAGTCATCATGTTAAAGCAATACTGAAGAAGGCTTTTTTTTTTTTTTTTTTTTTTTTTTGAGACGGAGTTTCGCTCTTGTTACCCAGGCTGGAGTGCAATGGCGCGATCTCGGCTCACCGCAACCTCCGCCTCCTGGGCTCAGGCAATTCTCCTGCCTCAGCCTCCTGAGTAGCTGGGATTACAGGCACACGCCACCATGCCCAGCTAGTTTTTTGTATTTTTAGTAGAGACGGGGTTTCACCATGTTGACCAGGATGGTCTCGATTTCTCGACCTCGTGATCCACCCGCCTCGGCCTCCCAAAGTGCTAAGATTACAGGCTTGAGCCACCGTGCCCAGCGGCTTTTTTTCTTGACGATCAAGAGCAGCTCAGGCTAAGCACAACATTCACAACTGTCATCCCAGCACTTTGGGAGGTGGGCGGACCACTTGAGACCAGCGGTTTCAAGACCAGCCTGGCCAATATGGTGAAATCCCATCTCTACTAAAAATACAAAAATTAGCTGGGCGTGGTGGTGCACACCTGAATTCCAGCTACTCTGGGAGGCTGAGGAAGGCGAATCACTTGAACCCAGGAGGTAGAAACTGCAGCAAGCCAAGCTCGTGCCACTGTACTGCAGCCTGGGTGATAGCACGACTGTCAAAACCAACAAAAAGAGAGCAGCTCAGCACTGTCTTTTTTTTCTTGAGATGAAGTCTCACCTGTCGCCCAGGCTGGAGTCAGTGGCGCGACCTCAACTCACTGCAGCCTCCTGCCTCAGGCTCCCAAGTAGCTGGGATTACAAGTGCCTGCCACGACCCCCAGCTAATTTTTGCATTTTTAGTAGAGATGGGGTTTCACCACGTTGGCCAGGCTGGTCTTGAACTCTTGACCTCAAGTGATTCACCTGCCTCCACCTCCCAAAGTGCTGGGATTACAGGCGTGAGCCATGGCGCCTGGCCTATCTATCTCATTTTAATGGGAACAGCTCCTTACTAGAAGATGAGTCGGAAGCAGCCCATACTGAGGCACACCATGAGGGCAGTAACTCATCTCAGCTTTGCTGCAGGCCGGAAGCCAGGGAGGGTAGCATAGGCCTAACGGGCCGCCTGGGAACTGTGCACCTTCAGCTTCCACAGGACAGTGCCAGTCTGCAGGTCCCTGCCTTCCCTCCATCTCTTCCTCAGTCAGATCCTTGGGTGTGCTCATCTCATTACTCCATTTGGTCCCGTTTTGCCCATGAGTGTGCAGGACCCGGGCAGGTTCATGGCTTATCCTGGAGAAGGGCGGAAGCAGTGACGTCGGCGGAAGTCCCCCCACTTGTCTGACAGTGACACTGGGGTCTTACCAGTGGTGTTTGCGAGTCGTGACTCCAAACTTGGCAGTGCACTCGTAGCAGAAGGAGCCGTCACACCACGGAGGCTCCTTGGACAGCATATCTGTAACACAGGGGAGAGGACTAGTCCCATCAAACAGCGACTGCCAGGCAAGCCTCAGGGCTCAGAGGGAGCAGGGAAACAGACCAGCAAGTGAAGCCACACACTGCCACGTGACACAGGCCAAGAGGCACAGAGGTTCTAAGTGGTTCAGGGACAGCTTCCAAGAGGAGATGAGAATCAGCACTTGCAGGGAGAATGGGGGCGAAGGAAACAAGCCAATGAAGTGAACCGGCGTGGCGTCTGTGGGTAGGTGGCGTGGCGTCTGTGGGGGAGGTGTGGTGTGACATCTGTGGGTAGGTGGCGTGGTGTCTGTGGGGGAGGCGGCGTGACGTCTGTGGGTAGGTGGCGTGGTGTCTGTGGGGGAGGTGGCGTGACGTCTGTGGGGGAGGCGGCATGTCTGTGGGGGAAGCACAAGTAGTCAGGGATGGCTGGAACGAAGGGATGGCTGGAACGAAGACATGGCAGGGAGAGAACAGAGATCACACAGTGAGAAAAACTGGCCAGGGCCACACGATGGGGAACAGAAGATGGGACTAAGAAAGAAAAACTGCGGAGGCAGGATCTGTAAGACTTGGTGCCTGCAGAAGTGCGGGACGTGAGACGGAGCAGGCAGAAGAAAAGGTGATGTCCAGGCTTCTGGGGAGAGGGCCTGAGTACGGTGGGACCACAGGCAGAGTGACCTCCGAGGAAGGACTGTTTCCGTCTCAGCTGGACGACGATCGCTGGGATTTACTGGCTGAACTCTCACTCTCTGCCAGGCACTGTGTGACTGCTCCACAGAGCGCGCCCCGAGCGCGTGGGGAGGAAGCAGCACGTGAAATCAGTTGTTACTCCTGAGCACCGTAGTGCGTGTATGTAGCCAGCACTAGGGGCACCAGTGCGGAGCTCTGGAAAGGCTAAGTGTGTGGCCAAGGGAAAGTGACAGTGGACAGATGTCACAAATGCTTCAACGCCAGCTTTGCCACAGACCAGCTGTGCAGCCGTGGGCAAGTCACTCCACCACGATCACATGGCCACCAAGTGTTTCTGAGCTTGTTCTTCTGCCTGTCTCTCCCCCCGGTGGGTGACAACACAACACAGGCACTGGAGGCATTCTGCTCTCTACCGCCTCAGCAGGGAAGGGCACGGACTCACACATACGAGCTAAGGGTGAACGCTCCTTTCCACAGGAGGGATGCTGGGAGGGGAGGGCTGGTGGGGCTGAAGCCCAAGCCATTCTGAAGGTTCTAGAGGATCTGAATCAGCCTCAGGAGGACAGGTGTGCAGCTGGGTGGCCGGGAGACACAGGAAGGGTGGCCTGCGTGGAGCCTGCGCACTTCCAGCAGGTTGTGGGGAGTGGGACAGGAACAAGGCAAAGCGCTTTGAAGAGAGACTGCCAACAGTGACCTTCCCAACGCACTCAAAACCCTTCACCCCATCCACAGGAAGAGTCCATGTACTGCCTGGAAACAGGTGGTTCTGATCTTAAGGCATTCCTGAGATTTAAAGATCACAAATACATCTCGATAGTAGCACTGAAAGAGCAAAACATAGGCCACTCACCTAAAAGTCGAAACAGAAGCTGCTTGGTGGCAACCTGGTAGTTGAAAATGTTGACTCCCTGGTTGTTATTCACCCCAAGACGAGCCCCAGCTCGGACGATGGCACGGCACAGGTTGGCGTTCCCTTTCATGTACGCTAAGAGCAGCACTGGAAAACAAACACGCAGGGCCACTGCCCACCCAGCCCAGCTGGCACCGACCACGGGAGGGCAGGAGACCTGGCAGGACATCTGCCTCAGAAAGTCCCCGCAGACACACGGGGCCCGAGGCTCCAGGGAGACCTCTGCGGACAAGCTGTAGCATCTCCCAAAAAAGGGCGTGGCCTTGAGCCAGAGATTCCAGAGCAGCTGGGATTCCCAGATGCAGCCTTTCCCATATAGAGCCTGGGCCGCGGGAGAACCGAGGTCTGGCAGGTGGGCGGGGACCCATCCCGAGGGAACTGTCCACTGTCGCCTCCCTTGCCCTCCTCTGGCAGGAAACACTGGTATCCCCACAAAGGACAAAGTTCTTCCACCCAGGGTAATTAAGTCTATGAGTCATGTACACGTGAAGAAGAAAAATCAGTATTAGGAACATGCTCCAGAAGGTTCTTCCACTCCATGGAGCCTCTCCTCTGTGGGGGTTCAGAGCCCATGGGAACCCACACTCTGGCCAGGTCCACCTGCTGCCTTCCCCGCGAAGTCACAGCTCACTGAGGCTCCCCTTTGCGTCCCTTTCCCAGACACGGAAAATCACACTGTAAGAGGAGGGCTGTCATTCCCATTACTAAATGAGGGAGCAGGCCCATGAGAGGAGAACGTGTACCCGGTCACCCTGCTAGAATCATGGGGCCTGGCATCTGCACCCAGCTGTGTGTGAGCGGGAGGCCTAGACACGACCCTCCCCGCCCACCTGTGACCCGCCCCAGGAGGTCTAGACACGACCCTCCCGCCCACCTGTGACCCGCCCCAGGAGGTCTAGACACGACCCTCCCCGCCAGCCTGTGACCTGCCCCAGGAGGTCTAGACACGACCCTCCCCGCCAGCCTGTGACCTGCCCCAGGAGGTCTAGACACGACCCTCCCCGCCAGCCTGCTGACGTGCTCCTGGGCAAGGTGCCCACTGAGTAACTGCTGGGTCGAGCAGCTCACTCCCAGGGCTGACTCCTCTGAAACTCAGGCCCACCATCAGCTTAAAAAACAAAGTCCACTTAGCAAGGCCAAGAACTCCCCTCAAGACCAAGATAAAATGCTGATAAAATATGTGGTTCCACATTAAGGTTCAGACAACCCATGGTGACTTCATTTCTGCCACGACCACGGAGGCTCTCCCTCCAGCACAGGGTGAGTGCAGGGAACGCAGCAGCCACACAGCCGTGCAGGGGATCTGGGATCAGAGATCTGGGTTTGTTTTACTGGGTTACTTTTCCTTACCTGAAAAATGGGGATACAACTATGTGCCCTGCTTTCCTTGTGGGGCCGTCGAGAGCACTGAGCCAGAACATGTATGTCTGAAAAGCCGGTAGAGCCACGTGGATGGCACGGTGACCACAGGCGCCCGGAGCAAGCCGGAGACGCCTGCAGCCCTCTCCCTAAGACGGGGCCTGTGGATCTGGGTGCAACTCGCCACGTTCTCAAGCATGTCAACACATACCCTAGCACATTTCTCCCTTCTGAAGATTCTGTGAAGTGTCTCTGCTAGAATCTGGGAGCTCGGGTAGGGCCCTCTTTGACTGGCCTAACGGCAGCCTGCCTGGAGGAGGCACACACGGTGTCAGCTCTGGATGCACCCAAGACGAGCCGACGCTCCGACTCCACAGCAGGGCTCTGCAGCACAGGCTCGGCCGGCCCGACGGAAATGCCCTGAGGCCGTGACATGTGCCTGCGCTCTGGTTTTTCCAGGCAGTAAGGCATGCAGGTGAGACAGGCCACACAGGCCCTGGCGACATACCTGTGCTGCCCTCCGCGTCCGGCTTATCCAGAGGGTACTCCGGCATGCACTCTAGGAAGAGCTCAAAGATGGCCGCCGCGTTCTCCCTGCCGTACTGCCCCAGGATGTGCAGCGGTGACTGGCCTCTGATGAAACAGGTCAGAAAAGTCAGGAATCTGCCAGGCCGCCACACACAAATAGAGTTTTCTGAACTCCGTGGCGGTGGATACAGCTAAAACACACTAACAGGTCACAAAACTTTTTCTTTTGTTTTTCATTTTATTTTACTGTAACCTAAGTGGATGCGTAACAAAAGTGTTTTTTTTTTTTTTTTTTTTTTTTGAGACGGAGTTTCGCTCTTGTTACCCAGGCTGGAGTGCAATGGCGTGATCTCGGCTCACCGCAACCTCCGCCTCCTGGGTTCAGGCAATTCTCCTGCCTCAGCCTCCTGAGTAGCTGGGATTATAGGCACGCGCCACCATGCCCAGCTAATTTTTTGTATTTTTAGTAGAGACGGGGTTTCACCATGTTGACCAGGTTGGTCTCGATCTCTCGACCTTGTGATCCACCCGCCTCGGCCTCCCAAAGTGCTGGGATTATAGGCTTGAGCCACCGCGCCCGGCCGGAAGAAGCATTTTTTATTAAAACAAAAATTCCAGTGCCAAAAGTACCAAAATAAAGTACCCGAAGCTGGTGAGGTGCCCGGTGGCCAGTTCTGCAGCCCTTCCCGGGGGCTGACGGGCGGCACCGGCGCCGGGTCCCACACACTCACCGGAGGTTAAAGGCCTCAGCGTCCACTGTGCACTCTGTCAGGAGAACCCGGATGTTGTTGAGCCGGCCGTGCATGACAGCAAGATGAAGAGCTGGGAAGTAAATCCTCTTACTGTGCACGCCCAGAAGCACAGGCAGAAAACTCTCCACCCCTCCTCACCCTCACAGACCTCTCTGACACTGGGACCCAGCCACAGCAGCCACTGGCCACACACAGAGCCATCCTTTCTACTCTTTACCGCCCTCAAGGATGCACCAAAAATGCAGTCTCGCGACGGCTCTGTGCTATGCTTTCCGCTTCAGCAGTTACCCAAAGGGGAGACTCAACTGTTTCCCAGGAAGGCAGTGTGGGCTTCTAGGGCACTCAACCAGATGGGGAGCTCCACAAGGCCTGGGCAGTGGCAGGCTGGATGCCCTACCCCGAGCACTCCCTCCTATAAAAGCCAACCCCGCCAGGGGGTAGCAGACCCAAGGGTGCACCGCACTCCCACCCTAGAATGGAGGGATCGTTCAAGGCACTCAGCACTGTACACACAGGAAGGACAGAGTTACCATTGTTTCCATTCTCATCCACCGCAGCAAAGTCCACTCCATTCTCCAGGAGGACTGAGCAGACAGTAGGCAGGTCCTGCTGAGCAGCCAGATGGAGGGCAGTCTGGCGATGCTTGGTTAATTCGTTCACTTTGGCTCCTGCAAGAAGCTGTTGAAGTTCATTACATGAAGAGTCTCTCCACCACCAAGATCCCCCTTTTGGAGACCAAGCTGCTTGTCCTCTGACACCCACAGAGGCTGATGGCCTGCCCTGCTGACAGAGCAGGGAGCATGAGGGCTTCACACATACTCCTACTGCTGAAGCGCAAACCAGCAAAACCTGTGCCAAGGGCAAACTGGCAATTACCTGTCAAAATGTTCAACTGCCAATCCTTGGGACACAGAAAGTCTACTTCTAAGGCTTTAGTATATAAAAACAATGCCGGACTTCAGTGATACTCACTGGACTATAGAAGGATGTCTACTGCTTACACTAGAAGAGCCTGATGGCAAAAGGGTTTGGTTGTAAAAATCATAAACAATAGAACATGTAGTAATTAAGATGATAAATATTTATCAATTAACATGGAAAAATGTTAATGACAAGTAAGTTTAAAAAACCTTGCAAGTTAGAAGATGGTACAATTCCATCTGGGGAAGACAGAGCTGTGTGCACACACAGGCATGCACACACAGGCGTGCACACACAGGCATGCACACACAGGCACTCGGAAGTTGTTTCACAGCATAAATGCCACACTCGGGGCAGCTGGGAGTCCAAGGGAGACACTGTCTGATTCATATCTTAATGTGCTTTGAGTTTTTCCACAATGAGTATGTTCTATTTCACTGTTGTTTTCTAAGTATTTACATATTTTTGAGACAGCAACTTGCTCTGTCACCCAGGCTGCAGTGCAGTGGCACCATCATAGCTCACTGCAACCTTCAACTCCTGGGCTTAGATGATCGCCCCACCTCAGCCTCCTGAGTAGCTAGGACCACAGGCATGTGACCCTATACCTGGCTAGTTTGTGTGTGTGTGTGCGCGCGCGTGTGTGTGTGACGGAGTTTCGCTCTTGTTACCCAGGCTGGAGTGCAATGGCGCGATCTCGGCTCACCGCAACCTCCGCCTCCTGGGTTCAGGCAATTCTCCTGCCTCAGCCTCTTGAGTAGCTGGGATTACAGGCACGCACCACCATGCCCAGCTAATTTTTTGTATTTTTAGTAGAGATGGGGTTTCACCACGTTGACCAGGATGGTCTCGATCTCTTGACCTCGTGATCCACCCGCCTCGGCCTTCCAAAGTGCTGGGATTACAGGCTTGAGCCACCGCGCCCGGCCCACCTAGCTAGTTTTTAAAAAAAAAAAAGTTTGGTAGGGTCTTGTAATGTTGCCCAGGCTGGTGTCAAACTCCTGGCCTCAAGCGATCCTCCCACCTTGGCCTCCCAAAGTGCTGGGATTATAGGCATAAGCCACTGTGTCCAGACTGTTTTTTAAAAGACACAAGCTGGGCACAGTGGCTCAGGCCTGTAGTCCCAGCACTTTGAGAGACAGGTGGGCGAACTGCTTGAGCCCAGAGGTTCAAGACCAACCTGGGTAACATGGGAAAACCTCATCTCTACAAAAATTTAAGAATTAGCTAGGCATGATGGCATGCACCTGTAATCACAGCTACTCAGGAGGGTGAAGTGGGAGGACTGACTGAGCCTGCAGTGAACTGTGATCAGTCACTGCACTCCAGCCTGGGCAACACAGGGACACCATGTCTCAAAAAAGAAAGAAAAAAAAGGACAAAAAGAATTACAGAATCAAAGGCAGAAGGGACCTTTAAATAATACCCCATCTATTCATTTAGTATTTGAAGTTCATCATCCTCTTTCTGACAAAGTTTAAAAAATAGTTGCTGTTAACAGAAAATTCCTGAGTTTGTAGTCAGAACCCTGTTTGCTGCTCCCGAGCTCTAAGGCCACCCTGCTTCCCCTGTTTGTACAGGCACTGCCTCTGGGGAAATCTAGGCGCTGGTCAGCTGCTCTGGGTAGAACCCTGACTTCCAAGTCCCAGGACTCTGGGCACCCAGTCTGATCACTGATGGATGGGACATGTGAGTGGATATGGGACACTTTCACATGAGACGCATTACAGACATCTATTCACAGTCACTAGTGCCAAGTTGGGGATCATAACTAACTGCACAGTTGGTCAGCTGGGAGCAGTGAGAGGTGGGTAAAGTCAGTGGGAATAGGGTCAAGCATTATGCAGCATCGAATCAAAGAGAAACGAGCACACGGACACGGGAAGACCTGCTGCTTCCAAGTTTCTGGGGGCTCCTCCCATCTGCCGTGTCAGGCTCTAGGAAGGCTGGAACCTACATCAGGACGCAGACCTCCTTCGGCTCCACAGAGGCCTAAAGACCGATGAACACAAGTCCGACTGCCTTCTGCTTTAGGACCTCCCTCTGCCTCCTGGGCTGCTTCCCCGACGTCTGGTGTGTTCCCGGCACCGTTGGACCACCTCTCCTTATTCCTCAGTTCACACTCACTGCCTCGCCGTCCTCGGGTCCCCTCACTGGTGAACCCACCCGCGCCTGTATCCCTCCCTGCCCCAAGACACCATCTTTAAATGCTGCCTCAGCTCAGACACACAGCAAGTCACAAAGCCTTCTCTAAAAAGCGTTTTTCAGAAACAACGACAACAAGGCGCCAAAAGCTGTGCAGGTGCCCTGGTGGCCAGCTGCGCGGCAGCGGCTCGGAGGAGCAGGCCCGGTGAGGAGGCCCAGTCTCGGCTCAAACACTGACAGTGGTTTCTCCGTGGCCTAAAGGATGAGGGCTGCTCACGGTCCTCGGTTTGGAACCTGACACCCCATGGTCTGTTTGCTGCCTGCTTCTAACCGCAGCTCTTTCAACTCTACAACAATTTCAACCAAACTTCCCTACTTAAAACACACCACATGCACTTCCCAATCTCCACATCTTTGCTGATGCCTGCCTGGTGGCATTATGTTTTACTGGAAAAAGCAGGCTTTGGAATCCAATAGAAAAGGCTAAAATCCCACACTGCCAGCTCAGCCTTGGGGGTGAAATTCTTAGCCTAAGTTTTCTCCTTTGTAAAATGGAAAACACGTCTCATACCCTGCTGTGGTTTTGAAAATTAAGAGACAGCTCCCTTCAGAGTCCCAGGTGAATGCCTGACGGAGAACAGCAGCGGCCCTCCACTTCCTCTGTGCTCCCCCTACCCCCGCCTCTGTGCTCCCGCCCCACCTCTGCCATCGCAATCCTGCTTTCTGTCAGGGCCACTCCAGCGCCTACAGCCTATGCAGCCCAATGGGGCACTCAGGACACGCAGCCTTGACACACCGTCTTCCAAGTGCACTGGCCTCATTCCCCAAATTCACGCTGGCCTTTCACCACACCTGGCAAAGCACCTGTGGGGAGATTCTGCACAAGCTCTACAACAGGCTTTGACAACGTATTATTATATATGGTAATATTTCTGTGTCACTTACCAAATTGCGGACAATAATTTCTGAGCCTGCTTGGACAGCAAGATGCAAGGGAGTCAACTTGGAAGCATCCTGGACTCTTGAATTCACATTAGCGTGGACACTGATCAGGAACAGCACACTTTCAATATCAGAATTCTGAACTGCCACATGAAGGAAGTTCCGACCCTTATTATCCACCTTACAGCAACAAGAGGAAACCGAAATATTAGTTCCCTTTTAAGAGTACATCCTGAGCTTCATCTGCAAGTTGTACTGACCACTGTAGAGGTCATGACATAGACCTTCTCTCAGGCCTAGGAAACTCCCTCCCACAACCTACCCAGAGACCTGCTCCACCTCTGTGCACAGAACACACGCTCCACACCTCTGTGCGCAGAACAGGCGCGCGTGGCCACACCCACACGGTCAGGGGAAGGACCCGCTCCACACCTCTGTGCGCAGAACACACGCGCATGGCCACACCCACACGGTCGGGGAGGGACCCGCTCCACACCTCTGTGCGCAGAACAGGCGCACGTGGCCACACCCACACGGTCAGGTCATGATGTAGACCTTCTCTCAGGCCTAGGAAACTCCCTCCCACCACCCACCCAGAGACCCGCTCCACCTCTATGCGCAGAACACACGCTCCACACCTCTGTGTGCAGAACAGGCACGCATGGCCACACCCACACGGTCAGGGGAAGGACCCGCTCCACACCTCTGTGCGCAGAACACATGCGCGTGGCCACACCCAGTCAGGGCAAGGGAGCCACTGCAGTGACCCACCGTGCCCTGGCATCCTCCTGTAGTAGAAACTGGATGCGGAAAGCCAAGAGAAAGACAATCTGAAGGACAGGGAAACAAAGGCACCATGATATCGATATCAGGAACTCATGGAGAGGCAAAGATGGAGACAAGTCTTGGGAGTCTCTTTGCTTTGGCTAAAACAAGCACCCAGCATCCTAATGCCCCAGCTGCACTGCCAGCCTGAGCCCTGAGCAGTCAAACCAAGGCATCGGAAATGCAGAGTGTCCTCTTTTACTGAGCTAGACTATACACAATGCGGAGGGAGCCAACAGCAGGTCGTGTACCTTGCTCCACTGATGGAAAGCAGCGGAGCTCAAGGTAATCAAGCCACACAGTACACTGTAGTTCCAAGAGCTGTCTTAGCTTGAGTGTTGAGGCGGCAGTGAGGGAGGCCCCAACGCCACACACACGGCACACCACCGCACACGGCCACACACCCACAGCACACGCCAGTCTCATGAGCAATGTCACACACACGGCATACCACCTCACACGGACACACACCCACAGCACATGCCGGTCTCATGAGCAATGCCGCATGAGCAATACCACTGCACACGGCCACATACCCACAGCACACACCGGTCTCACAGGCAATGGGTCTGCAGAGCGCTCTGATCAACAGTACAGTTCCACACTGGAGAGAAGACCCACGAGAAGACTAGCCCCACTCACGGCCATTTCACACCACCTGAGCCAATGTGAGGTCAACGCCTACATGATCCAGCCACACTTGTGAAATGCCGAAGACACAGGGTATGAGAATCCTGAGATACCAAGCCATCATCTCCACCCACCAAGAATTCCATTTCATCCAGGTCCTGAGTGTTCACCTCACCGTCATGAACAGCCATTTCTAAGTCCTGGCAGTATGCCAGGTGCTGGCTGGAGATGAGGTTCTGTCAGACTGACTTCGTGCCTGTCCCCGCTCCCACCTCAGATCAGCTGTTATGGCCATTTCCCACCCAGTGTGTTGCTGCAGATCAATAGTCCACCTTCCAGGTTTCGCAGCTAGTAAAAAGAGGCACAAAGAACGAGGCCAGCCCAGCCTGCTAAGCGGAATTGCTGACCTCCTCCCAAACAGTCCACGTTGCCTCAACAGCATAGCACAAGCTCTCCAAGTTCCTTTCAAAGCTTTTAAAGACATTCTTTACGAGGACAGTTAACCAACCAAAGAATGCGCTCTCAACAGAGAATGAGCCCAGAATTCCTACCGTGGAGCCCACTGGCTCCACCTCCGTCTAAGCCTGGCGTCGTGTGGCACTAATGTACAGGGCAGAGCAGCCAGACATCACCCTGCACTGACGGGACACTCAACAGCCACATTGGAGGAAAGGGAGAACAATTTCAAAGCAAAGCCCTTTACACAAAGAGACCTGTTCAGTCGGTGACATCTGTGTCGTCTCCAGGTGCTGTGGGGAACAGGACAAGGCGGAAAACGCTGGGTGTTACTCACGCACCTGCTCAGCAGCCCCGGACTCTCGTTTGAGAATGGCCTCGGCTGCCTTGTTGTTCTTGTAAGTCATGGCACAGGCAAACGGGGTCAGCCCTTGCCTGTCTCGGATGTTCAGATGGATATCAGGGTGAGAGATCAACAACTGAATGATGGTGCTGTGCTGGTTGCTGATGGCCACGTGGATGGGTGTTCTTCCTTCCGCATCCTGGGGGGGCAAGGCACAGATCTCATGTTCAACTGCAAGACAAAACTCAGGAAAAATAGGAAGGGCTAAAACTTTTAAGTGAAATTTCAGTTATGAGAATCAATCAATACTACTGCCCTGTGCTTGACCCAGCTTTTAAAGAGGCCAAACAGAGGTGACGAAAAGTCACTTCCTGTTACAGCATGTTGCAGTGACCCGGTGGTGGCTGCGGGCCCAGCACAAACAATGTGCTTTAGATCCGCAGCGAGTCTCCGCTCTAAGCTGCCACCCTCATCTGGCCACAGGGCCTATATAGAAATCTTTGCAGGCTAGAACGTTGAAAGGCATCAAAGGGCATAACTCAGGGCTATTCAAGTGAGCTACTGGGACATTTTCCTAAATACAGCACTCAATTTGCAACTGAACTCTCAACAGAAATCTATGACTAAGCGGGAGGAAGAGGAGGCAAAGAGAAATAGCTGAACCCAAGCTTCCTCCTGTTGGAGAAGGGACGAAGGCACAGAGAAGACATCGCCCTGAAGTCATGAACACTGCTAGGGAGGACGTGAGTAATGCAGCCCTGTTCATGAAGAAGCAGGGCGTGGGCCAGGAAGTGCAAGGTCCCTTGCCCTAAGAGGAGGTTTCCCTCATGCTGGGGCTACCATCCCTCTCCCTGGAAAAGAGAAACGACATACCTGCGCATTCACATTGGCACCAAACTCCAGAAGACATTGGACTGTCTCTTCCAGGCCCCAAGAGGCTGCCAGATGCAAAGGGGTCTGCCCATCTCTAGCCTCTTCCTCGCCTTCTCCATTAGCACCTGGTTGCCTGGGACTGTTCACATCACAGCCACTGAAAGCAATGGGAAGGTGTTTAGAAAGGCCATGCTTCAACCTGGCCTGTAGCATGCTGCTGAACTGTGAAGCAGGAGCCTCCTCCAGTCCCACAGGCTCTGCTATGCAGGGTTGCTGTCCTCAGTACCTCGCCTGAGAGTCGGGTTCCCAACCCCACAGATTCTTCTGTGACTGGCCTTGGGGATGGGCAACCCGGGCATCAGAACACTTAAAAACTCCTCAGGGGAAGGTACTTGTATACATATGTATACATTTTAAGTTTGAAAACCAGCCAGATGTAGTGGCTCACGCCTGTAATCCAAGCACTTTGGGAGGTCGAGGCGGGCGGATCACTTGAGGTCAAGAGTTCAAGGCCAGCCTTGAAACCCAATCTCTACTAAAAATACAAAAATTAGCTGGGCATGGTGGTGGGCGTCTGCAATCCCAGATACTGGAGAGGCTGAGGCATGACAATCGCTTGAACTCAGGAGGCGGAGGTGGCAGTATACCACTGCACTCCTACTCAGGAGGCTGAGGCGGGAGAAGAGCTTGAACCCGGGAGGCAGAGGTGGCAGTGAGCCGAGATGGCACCACTGCACTCCAGCCTAGGCAACAGAGCGAGACTCCAAAAAAAAAAAAAAAAAAAAAGGAAGAAAAGTTTGAAAACCATAAGTTTGAGAACCACTGCTCTAAAGGTTCCTGAATAACCTTGGTTTCCACATATCCCACACTCCATGGGGGCCACGGAGCCTGTTAGGCCTCACACAGCTTGGTGGGGTCCTGCAAAGACCGTCTGGTCCCCCTCCTGGCTCCACAGTCTGAACTGGTCTGCCATGACAACAGGAGCCCAGGCAGCTCCCAAAGAAGGACACTGACTTAAACATTCAGATTCTTTGATCCAGGCCTGTGAGCTCCTCCCTTCACAAGTGAGCCTGGCTGCTGGCTGACCTGACATGACGAAACAGTGACCCTGTGACACCCTTAACTGTGAAAGTAAAGCCAGCTACTGGCATGCCATGACCATAGGCAGCTTTAGAAAGGAAAAGAGCCGGTTTGCAATAAGCTCGCTCAACGGATTTCAAGAAATAGTAGGGCCTCTCACACCTGCGGATAAGAAAGCAGGCGGTGGGCTCGTTGTTTTCATCAATGGCTCTGTGCAGGAGTGTCTGGAGGCAGCCGCCAGGTCCGGGGCCCCAGCATGTCGCATCACAACCGTGTCTGACCTGCAGAACAACACAGGTTATCATAAACACTGCTGAGCAAAGGCAAACATTTTTATTGCCAAGTCTAACCTCTACGTATAACATTAAATCCATTTTCAGATAAGTTACGGGTGATAATTAAATGATAATTACTTTAATTTGTATCACTCATTAGTTTTACAAACACGAATTAAAATTTGCTGTGTGCAAGTTCTTTCTTGCACTAGGTCCTGTGGGACAGATTTGGGAAGCATAAACAAGAATGTTTAATTCATGTCCTTTAGAGCTATGTCCTAGAAGGGACAGAAAACACAAAGTGTCTGTGTTTGCATGCACCAACAGGTCCTCGGCAATGCACACCTGTCATTAACAGGTAACCTCAATGTCTGGGTGAACCCTCCAGTGCACGATGCCTTCGTAATCACACTGCAGGCCCTTCAGGGAGCTAAATGGGGGCCTGCAGGCTTACCTCCACTTTTGGGGCCTGTCTTGCAAACTAGGGAGATAAAGTTAAGACTGGGGAAATGATCGCTATGGTGAGAATGAGGAGGGCCCACATCAGATCAGTAACCCCAGGAGAAGGCTCCTGAGGACAGGCCGCCCTTCTCTTGCTTCTCAGTAGTTTTCTTGGTAAAGACAGTCTACAAACAAAAGTGTTGGCCAAGATCACGTTGAACTGCAAGTTTCTTTAACATGACTGTCAACTGCCTGTCCTTGCCCCACTTTGTTACTTGGCAGGCCTCTCGCTCCTGTGACGGCTACAGAGGCACCAGATCCATCTGACACAATCTGTGCCCATCTGTAAGCAGAGGCTAATGTTGTGCTTGTCTCACCAGAGTGGACGCGATGTCCTCCAGGTTGTCTGCCAATGCAAGCCACAACGGAGGGTTCCCCTTCTCATCCGGCACAGACATGTCAGCTCCTCGGGTGCATATTGCGTCGACTACGAGCGGAAGCTGGTTTCTGATGGCCAGCTGGAGGGCCGTCTCCCCGTCTTGAGTCCTGCCGGGACAGGCATGCCCAAACCAGTGTTTGTAGCTGGAGCCAAAGGACAGATGGTGCCCTTCTGGGCATTCTGGAGCCCAGAATCTTCTGTACCCCTAACCATATTTACTCACATTTCATTCAACATTTTCTCAGGGAAACTAAATGCAACAATAGTGTCTGTCCCTTCTGCCTTTTTAGAAAACATAACCATATCACCTTATTGCCCTTCCAAGATAATTAAATCCCCATGTTGAAATCTTAGAGAAATAGTTACTTTTTGTGGCATCTTAATAAAATGCCACTCCAATAACCCACTTGACAAAACCCTTCTTTCCCTCACTCAATCATTCAGTCACTTGGAGATAAGGTAAGTTCTTTTGAAAATACAACCACAACGAAAATGTGACTCGTCTTTTTCCCTCTCAAGTCTTGTTGGTAGCTTATTTGTTGGAACATTCTTCACTGTAACTGAAATTCCTTGTTAAAAACTGACTTTAGGGTGGCAGATCACCTGAGGTCAGGAGTTCGAGACCAGCCTGGCCAACATGGTGAAACCCCATCTCTACTAAAAATACAAAAATTAGCCAGCTGTGGTGGTGTGCATCTGTAATCCCAGCTACTCGGGAGGCTGAGGCATGAGAATCACTTGAATCCAGAAGGCAGAGGCCGTAGTGAGCCGAGATTGTGCCACTGCACTCCAGCCTGGGCAACAGAGTGAGATCCTGCCTCGGAAAAAAACAAAACAAAACAAAAAAAAACCGATTTTAGATTGTCTTTCACAATGAAACTTGTGCAATATTGTGCACTGGTCTTGAACGGTTCAGAGAAGAGCAAAGTACAGTTCCTTTTCTCCACTACAATCAGGTCTCTTGATGCTGTTCAGTTACAACATCACGTGTATTTTTAGAGCCATTGTTTTCCTTCCTTTATTTAATATGAAACAAAAACACTTTTCTACAAGCGAGGTTATGTTTGTGAACCACCTCGATTAGATGTTACTGGTGTTACACTGGGGAGTGCTGCTCCACCCTACCTGACATTAATATCTGCCTGGTGCTCCAGGAGAAAGAGGGCGCTCTTGCTGTCCTGCCGCTGTATGGCCATGTGCAGCAGGGTCTGCCCATCCGACATGGTGTCGTTGATGGAGGCCCCAGAGCCCAGCAGCTGGGCTGCGATCGTGTGCATGCCTGGGAAAACAGCAAGCCCCGATGAACGGCGCTCAGCCTCTCCCGCTTCCTCAACATCCTGCAGCAACACACACCCTCTCAACTTCAAAGCCAGCAGTTTTCCACTGGACAGAACAGGCTTCACTCTAACAGAAAGTCCACTTCACAACCAAGTGATTAGCCCTCTCTCCTCTTGCTTGCTTGCTCTCTCACCCACCCACCCACGCGTCGGACGGCTGTTCACCTGCAGACATCCACAGCCCTGGCACAGCCTTACCAGTCCACAATGCCAGGCCCAGGACGGTCTGGTCTCGGGAATCTTTGAGGCTGAAGTCCGGAATAATCTGCAAGTTGTTGGTGGCATGAAGAGCATTGGCTGCAGTTTTTAGAAAGGAAAAGAACGTATGATTTCACCACCCGTGGATCACACTTAGAGCACTCATGAGAGTAAGAACTCGGTTTGAAACTGACTGATAGGCTGTAATATGATCAACGCTATAAAAAGAGAGTAAATCAATCTTGTCAGGAGTCAAAGCCCAGAAATCTCATATTTTGGAGCACAGCTTATGGGGAAAATGAATCTTTGTAAAGCTTGAAACACTGGCTCTTTTTTTTTTTTTTTTTTTTGAGACGGAGTTTCGCTCTTGTTACCCAGGCTGGAGTGCAATGGCACGATCTCGGCTCACCGCAACCTCCACCTCCTGGGTTCAGGCAATTCTCCTGCCTCAGCCTCCTGAGTAGCTGGGATTACAGGCACGCGCCACCATGCCCAGCCAATTTTTTGTATTTTTTAGTAGAGACGGGGTTTCACCTTGTTGAACAGGATGGTCTCTATCTCTCGACCTCGTGATCCACCCGCCTCGGCCTCCCAAAGTGCTGGGATTACAGGCTTGAGCCACCGCGCCCGGCTCGAAACACTGGCTCTTCACCTAAGGAGAACGGACTCCAGGATGGAAACACACACTAACCGCCTGCTGACTGAAGACAAGATGAAAGTAATGTCCTGACGGAGTTTCCTAATACACAATCCCACAATCATAAAACTTCTGTGAGGACCAAAAAAGGGCACATACTACCTAAAACCACCCAACCTTTCTCCAGAAGCACAAGGCTAAGAAACACTGTGCTTAAGGACTGAGGCGAGAGCAAAACCCACCTCAGGAAGGGAAAGAAGACACAAGGAAGACTTTCTGAGGGAAAGGGGGCTTCTGTACCGCAGGGGCCGAGGGCAGTCTGGCTCCTCTCTCACCGGGCGCCTGCCACAGCAGAGTTCTCAAAGACAGTGCTCACGCCAAGGCAAGGCTTTGCTTGACCTACCCAACCTCAGGTGATCCGCTCGCCTTGGAGAAATACTCAGTAAGAAAAACGCAGAATTAAGGTTTTAACACCTTAACCTAACAAGTGAAATGGGCAGGCCCCATCCTGAAAACATAAAGCAGTCAAGAGCAAGACTACATGCTTCTCTAATTTGACCTGAAAGGACTTCTGGGGGTAAGAAACTAGCTATAAGAAACTCACCAACAGAAGAAACATCAACTTTGTAACTATCCTAAACTGCTGTCCACAAGTCAAATGAGGGACAGTATTCCCACCGACTTACCTTTCTGCTCCAGGATGACAGACACCACATCTGGATGATTATAGGCGATGGCCATGTGCAGTGGTGTCTGCAGATAGACGCTGTCCGCCAAGCTGGTCGGGGACACAGACTCCTTTGGCAAAGGCAGGGCCTCCTCCGTCTGCAGGTTTGGGTTGGCACCTTGCTGCAGGAGCTCTGCGGTGAGGTTGGCCAGACCATGCCTGCACGCCGTGTGCAGCGGCGTTTCTCCCTGAATGGAAACAAATGGCCGAGATCTGAGCACTCACAGGCCAGGAATTCCCTTCGCAGAGTGGGCACGACTGCTAAGCGCACAAACTCCAGCCAGGAATTCCCCTTGCAGGGCAGACACGACGGCTAAGTGTGCAAACTCCGGCCAGGAATTCCCTTCGCAGAGGGGGCACAACGGCTAAGTGTGCAAACTCCGGCCAGGAATTCCCTTCACAGGGCGGACACGACGGCTAAGTGTGCAAACTCCGGCCAGGAATTCCCTTCGCAGAGGGGGCATGATGGCTAAGTGTGCAAACTCCGGCCAGGAATTCCCTTCGCAGAGGGGGCATGATGGCTAAGTGTGCAAACTCTGGCCAGGAATTCCCTTCGCAGAGGGGGCATGATGGCTAAGCACGCAAACTCCAGTCCTTGGCTCATCCTGTCACCAGCTGACCCTCATGACTTTTGTTCTCTTTCTCCTGAGCCATCACTCTTAGTATCTTCTTTTTCATGTATTTTTGGGGTGGAGTCTCGCTGTGTTGCCAAGGCTGGACTCAAACTCCTAGGCTCAAGCAATCCTCTTGCCTCAGGCTCCCAAACAGCTGGAGTTAAACGTATGAGGCACTGCACGTGGTTCTACCTTTAAGTTTCTCCAGTGTCTTCCCCCAGCACCTTTAGAAAGGACTGGCTTCTTGACCTCCGAGGGCCTCCTTAACCACCCTTCAGTTTGTTTTATAATTCTTTAATTATAAAAATGATACATGCTTATTATGACAAAACAATAACAAGCTACAAGTGTCACCAAAATAAACACTGCAACTAGTGGGAGAGCGGGGCACGAGCCCGGTGACGAGCAGTGCTGGCACCGTGGCCCTCGCTCCTTTTCACCTCCCCACTTGCACTCCGCTTCCTTCACCTGCTCACACCAACCTCATCTTCGACTCTGATCAAGACCTCCTGCTCCTATTTTTAAAAGTTAAAAATACTCCTGATGCAATATTTTATAAGTTTCCTCTCACATCTGGAACCATTATTAGCAGTTTCATGTTTCTCTCCATTGACAGAATATTCATAGGAAAATGTATGTACGCATACACTTATGCACTTAGGTATGTATATGTGTATGTCTGTAGGTACACACACACACACACACACACACACACATACACACACACACACTTTTTTTTCACCCAAACAGATGGGAATGACCTCAACACCCGGCTCTGCTTCGCAAGGTGCCTGCTCTCATCAGAGTTACACGCCCTCATCACTTAAAGGCGTGTTGTAAAACCCAGCAAGATCCCTGGCAGTGATGTTTGCAAATAACTGATCACAACCAGTTCCAGACTGTTTCCTGTTTCGTTCCTTCACTCCCACCACTTCACTTGACGAGCCTAAACAAACAAGCAAGCAAAAAAACAAACCAAGATCCTATCTCCTCCCTTTCCTCAAAAAATTATTCTTTCTCACCAGGAATCACTTTTAACTCTTCCAGCTGAATTTTGTAAATCTCTAGATTTTTTTTTTTTTTTTTTTTTTTGAGCTGGAGTTTGGCTCCTGTTCCCCAGGCTGGAGTGCAATGGCACGATCTTGGCTCACTGCAACCTCCACCTCCTGGGTTCAAGCAATTCTCTTGCCTCAGCCTCCCAAGAAGCTGGGACTACAGGCATGAGCCACTACACCCCGCTAATTTTTGTATTTTTAGTAGAGACAGGGTTTCACTATGTTGGCCAGGCTGGTATTGAACTCCTGACCTCATGATCCCCCCGCCACGGCCTCCCAAAGTGCTGGGATTACAGGTGTGAGCCACCGTGCCCAGCCTAAATCTCCATATTTCTAATGTATTTTGATTGCTGCCTCTTCATTTTCCAGCTTTGAACATTATCTGCGGGACTTGCCGCCCTGGCAGGTGAGGACTGAGTGCTTTCACACTTCGAGCCCCAGCGCCTGCTCCCCACCCCAAGGCCTCCCCACACAGGGGCCGTAACTGGTGTGAGCCCTCCCAGGTATTTCCTTCTCCTCCTCTTCCCCTCCTGCTCAGGGCCATCTTCTGTTCCAGACCCTTCTTCTATGCATTCTCACTGGGTGTGCTGATCTACCCATGGCTTCTGCCTGGGACTCTCAACAGGCTTCCAGCCCCATTTCTGCATCTGATTTTCCCACTGCCTGTTAGACATCCCTACCTAAATGTTTAGAAATTCAAAAATTACAATGGAATGTATTCCCCCCTACAGGTTCCTCCTCCTAGCCAGTTTCTTCTCTCCTTTCACAGACTCATCACAACGATCGTTTTTGAAAATTCCCATTTCAATGTCTCTGGAGTGCAAGTGGTTTCTGGTTCCATGGATGAGTTCTGCAGTGGTGATTTCTGAGATTTTGGTGCACCCGTCACCTGAGCAGTGTACACTGTACCGGGTGTGTAGTCTTTTCTTCCCATCCCCTCCCAACCTTCCCCTCTGAGTTCCCAAATTTCCTTACATCATTCTTGAGCCACAACAGTTTTAACAGCTTCTTGCCCTCACTTCTGGGAGCCTCAAGCATGCATGTTGCATACACTAATTCTGCATTTCTGGTGAAACCTGTTTCTTTGGATCCAAATGCAGTGTAAGGCCAGGACAGGTCACTGCTTATCAAGACGATTCCCACTTGGCTCCAGCCTGCACTCCATGGCACACCCACCATGCCAGCCATCCCAGGCAGTTTTCTCAACGCTAGAAGAATCCTACTACTGCCCTGCCCAAAACCCTCCAATGGCTCCTCTGTCGCTACAGGATAAAGCCCACACACCAGAAACCAGTGTTCCAGGCCCTTCTCCAGAGCTGCTCTCCACTGCTCTCAAGTTAGGCCTCCTGTCTCTAAAGCTTGGTAGAGATGGGGTTTCACCACGGTAGCCAGGCTGATCTCGAACTCCCGACCTCAGGTGATCCGCCTGCTTCGACCTCCCAAAGTGCTGGGATTACAGGCATGAGCCACTGCGCCTGGCTGAGGATTTTAAGTTAGGAGATAGTAAAGCATGTCTCTCTGCTATTAGAAATTAGGAGTGGGCAAAGTTAATGATGCTGGAGAGAAAGAGACAGACACACGATGGCGAGCAGAGGCCAGGAGAAGATGAGAGGGCCTGAGATCTGGGATACAGAACCCAAACGAAGCAGCAGCCTCCAGTGGGCCTGGGGCCACGCCGTCCCTCTGGCTGCAGAGCTGGTGGTGTGCAGACAGTGCAGTTGGCGGTGGAAAGGACGGCATTGCCCTCTCTCCTGTACTTCGCTGGTCTGGCTCAGATAGCAAGCTGAGTGTTTACTGCCTTGCCCAGTGCTATCGAGTGTACAACTAGACAGCCTTGTGCCGGGGTCTCAAGGCAGACACTTAACCTCACAGAACCTCAAAGTCCCTGACCCCAAAATGAATTTATTGATGAAGAAAAGGCCTCTTCAATCCTAACAATACATGCTGCTTCCAGGTCCACTGTGAGAACTAAAAGATATTATAGCCTTAAAGGTGCTGGCACAAAGTGACTGTGAAATAAACGCGACATTAAAGACAAGCACATCCTCCTGGTCTGAAAATAATAAAGCAAAAATAACTATCATAAAGTACCTAATGTCTCTGATACTATGCTAGTAAGCACTTAATTATATCATTTACTTTCATCTTAACCACACCCTATGAAATGCGTATTATCCACATTTTACAGATGAGGAAACTAAAATTAAGACCCCATAGGCCGGGTGCAGTGGCTCATGCCTGTAATCCCAAGACTTTGGGAGGCTGAGGCAAGAGAATCATTTGAACCCAGGAGGCAGAGGTTGTGGTGACCCAAGTTCATGCCATTGCACAGCCTGGGTAACAACAGCGAAAGTCTGTCTCAAAAAAAACAAACAAACAAACAAAAAAACCCACACAACCACATAGGGAGGAAATGGGAAAGCTGGTCAACTCTGTAATGTCCGGCCTCAAAGGTTAACACTCATTCCTAACACGTACATTCTACCTTGTTAGTTTGCGATACAGACTCATGAATGGCAGTCCACATAGAAAAACCCAAGCGAATGTGAAGTGTTGTTATAAAGAATCAAATGCTATTATGGTAGGTTTGTGTACCTGTGTGCTAACCTCTATTGAAGTCCATAGTGTCTAGCTCAGGGCCTGATAACCTCAACAAGCGGTTTCCTAACCAAACGCTTAGGAAATGGTTGCTGAATGAATCAATCAATCAACATTTGAGGAAACATAAAATAACATTTCCTGCTGACTTTGTAACCACATGCATGCATTATTCTGATAAAAATGGAAAAACACATTTATTCCCTTTTCCCTGAGTATGCACCGCTGTCATTTCTTCCATAGATGAAAACCAACTTCCTGGCTGCCCCATCACTTACCCACTTGTTTCTGTGGTTCACATGGGCACCATTGGTTGCCAGGAAAAGAGCTGCTGCCTCGTTTCCTGCCCCAGCTGCCCGCTGTAGTAAGCAGTTTCCTAGAAGAAAATGGGCATACTGATTCTTCTGTTTGCATACAAATGCAGCCAAGCTGCACACCGCACAACACCTGCTCTTCCTGCCACCTTACGGCTGGCAAGCCCACACCAGGCAGCAGGTTATCACTGAAGGCCACAGAGGTACTCTCTGGATGTGGACACAGAGCCTAGAGAATACCTGGGGCTGGAGCATCCATTCCTCCATGGGGTTCCCACTGGCCACTGTCCAAGACCAAAGGTAAGTTCTGTCTCCTTGCTGGGGTTGGGGTACAGCAAAGTTTCTCAACGGTGATGCTACTGACATTTTGGAGGGGTAAGTTCTTTGCTGTGGGAGTCTGTTCTGCACATTGTGGAGTGTTCAGCAGCATCCTCTGAACTCAGGACAATTTGCAATGGCCACAGATGCTGGCCATGTGTGGTGCTGCACAACTGTAATCCCAGCACTTTGAAAGGCCGAGGCAGGCAGATCACTTGACGCCAGGAGTTTTGAGATCAGCCCGGTCAACATGGTGAAAACCTGTCTCTACTACAAATTCAAAACACAGCCAGGCGTGGTGGTGCACACCTGTAATCCTAGTTACTTGGAAGGCTGAGGCTTGAACCCTGGAGGTGGAGGTTGCAGTGAGCCGAGATGGTGCCACTGCACTCTGGCCTGGGTGACAGAGCAAGATTCCACCTCAAAGGGAAAAAAGAAAAAGAAAGCAAAGTGTACAGATGTTGACAAGTGTTCTCAGGCAGTATAGACAGGACTGTGCCTGGCTGAAAACCACTGGATGACCATTTTGAAAATATTTTAAGTTCCATTAGAAAATGTCCCTTAAATATGTCAGTTTTATTTCTAATGCTTTAAATATGTTTGTTCTTGGCTTAGAAATATTTTCCTTAGCACTGTCATTCTTTTCTAAATAAAAACCTAGAAAAGAAAAAAATGGTTTTTCTTTTTCTCTTAAAATGGTTTTGGCCCCAAAACAATGTTTCTCGGTCTTTTAAAATCCATTTCCAAAAATGAACAAGCTATCTCACGTCAACAGCTATAGTATTTGAAATTCCAAATAAACTAAACACCAGGGCTAAAAACAAAATAAAGAGTTGGGCTAGCCGGGCACAGTGGCTTATGCCTGTAATTCCAGAACTTTGAAAGGCTGAGGTGGGTGGATCACCTGAGGTCAAGAGTTCAAGACCAGCCTGGCCAACATGATGAAACCCATTCTGTACTTTAAAAAAAAAAAAAAAAAATTAGCCAGGCCTGATGGCACATGCCTTGTAGTCTCAGCTGTTAAGGAGGCTGAGGCAGGAGAATCACTTTAACCCGGGAGGCGGACATGAGGCAAAAGAGTGCCACTGCACTCCCGCCTGGGTGACAGAGCGAAACTCGGTCTCAAAACAACAAAAAGCAATGAGACAAAGTACTACTTCGCTTCCATGCCATTTTCTTCCTTATCTCTCAGAGACAGGGATTCGATTCCTACTTGATGGTTACTCTAATCTAGAGACTCCTAATGTGGGTTCCATGTTCACGTGTGCAGTCATTCCAGTGTAGCCAAGAATTAAATTCTATACCTCACAACAAAATAAAGATAATCCGTGACTGCCAAACATCACTCAACTGTTAAAAGCTAGTGGACTGCCAGGCGCGGTGGCTCACGCCTGAAATCCCAGCATGTTGGGAGGCTGAGGCGGGCGGATCACCTAGGGTCAGGAATTCGAGACCAGCCTGACCAACCTGGAGAAACCGTGTCTCTACTAAAAATACAATATTAGACAGGCGTGGTGGCACACGCCTGAAATCCCAGCTACTCAGGAGACTGAGACAGGAAAATCACTTGAACCCAGGAGTCGGAGGCTGTGGTGAGCTAAGACTGCACCATTGCATTCCAGCCTGGGCAACAAGAGAGAAACTCCATCTCAAAAAAAAAAAAAAAAAGCTAGCTGACTAATTGGCTGGCCCTGGCCGGCCTGAGTGCAGTGATGTTTACAACTCATCACACCAGTTACAATTTCTCTGTTCCTTCTGTACTCCCACTGCTTTACTTGACTAGCCTTAAAATGAAAAAATGAAAAAATAAAAAAAAAACTAGTGGACTAAGACTGTTACATGTAAAATGAAACATATCAGTAGAAAAAACAATCCTGAGCCTGTATATATTTAACAACTAAAACTGAAAGTATATAAAATTGACAGAACCAGCAAGAAAAATGGGCAAAACCATAATCAATGAAAAATGTTAATACACCTCTCAGAAACTGAAAGATCCAGCAGTCCAAAAGTCAGAATATAAAGGATCTGAATAGCTCCACGAACAAGCTTGATTTAATGCAGCATCCTACAATTACAGAATGCACATTCTTTTCAAGCACACGGCAGACCTTTCTAAAAGCTAGTCCTGGGAGTCTAATATCCAAGTCCTTTTTTTTTTTTTTTTCCAGAGATGGGATCTTGCTCTGTTACCCAGGCTGGAGTACAGTGGAGTGATCATAGCTCACTGTAGCCTCCAACTCCTGGCCTCAAGCAATCCTCCTACATCAGCCCGAGTAGTTCAGAATATAGGCATAAGCCACCTCAATTCTTAACTGTCAAAGAACCAATCTCTTACATGCTACATTCTGATATAATATGATGAAATTAGTGGTCAGTAAAATTATGGGTAATAACCAGTATGTTTGTAAATTAAAAGCAATTAGTAACAATCTGATTTCCAGAAGTTCAGTCTAAAACACATACAGTTCTTCCTGCATTCCTTGTCCTGTAGTACCTTTACCTGCCTTTAGCTTTTATATCACCTAGAGTGGCGATTTTGTTTGACCTTTAATTATTATTTTATATTATTTATCTTTATTTGTTTGTCTTAGACAGAGTCTCGCTCTGTCACCCGGCTGGAGGGCAGTGGTGTGATCTTGGCTCACTGCAACCTCCATATCCTGGGTTCAAGTGATTCGCCTGCCTTAGCCTCCTAAGTAGCTAGGATTACAGGTGCCTGCCACCATGCCCAGCTGATATTTGTATTTTTAGTAGAGATAGGATTTCTCCATGTTGGCCAGGCTGGTCTCAAACTTCTGACTTCAGGTGATCCACCCGCCTCAGCCTCCCAAAGTGCTGGGATTACAGGCGTGGGCCACTGTGCCTGACCAAACTTCCTTAGGGAAAGGGCTGTTTCAATACCCATCTTTTTTTTTTTTTTTTTTTTTTTTTTTTGGTCAACTCTTTTTGTGGGTGGCACCTACCCATGTTTTATACATTGCTAGTACTCAATACGGAATTACATGGAATCCCTCTCCTTAAAATATCCCTGTATTTTATTCAATCAGGTCAAGGAAATACATTAAAACCGGTTCTCAAAGTGTAATCTAATAGGGCAAATACTGAAGTTATAATCCACGTAAACAAAAGCTCTCTGGGGTATAATTTTTAAGTCAGTCAAAAGAATTCTGAGTCCAAATAGTCTGAGAATCCCCGCATTAAAAAAATGGAAGTGTTTCAGCTTCAAGCACTTGATGTCTGCTAAATTGTTTGAAGCACAGGATTGTTTTGTTTGTTTTTTGAGATAGGGTTTTGCTCTCGTTGCCCAGGTTGGAGTGCAATGGCTCAGTCTCAGTTCACCGCAACCTCCGCCTCCCAGGTTCAAGTGACTCTCTGTCTCAGCCTCCCAAGTAGCTGGGATTACAGATATGCGCCACCACGCCCGGCTAATTTTATGTTTTTAGTAGAGATGGGGTTTCTCCATGTTGGTCGGCTGGTCTCGAACTCTTGACCTCAGGTGATCCACCAGCCTCGGCCCCCCAAAGTGCTGGGATTACAGAAATGAGCCACCATGCCCGGCCGAAGCACAGAATTTTTAAAAATTACAACCCAGGGCTTTACTGTATTTAAAATTAAACAAAAAGTAGTTATCCTAATAGTATGCCGTCCAGTACCTAGGTCTGGGGTGAGAGCATTTACGCGCTATCTCCCGGCACCTCCAGATCCCGGCACCGCCCTTTGGGAGGCAGGTGCTTACCTGTTGCCATGTCAGGTGCGTCCGTGTGGCTGCCGCGCTGGATGAGTCTGGCTGCAAAACTGTTTTCATCAAATGAAGTCCCATTTACCACAGGGACATCTTCGAAGGGGTTCACAGACTGGTCAGAAGACACCGTGATGTACTGCACGGCAAGCCACAGAGCCGTGCTGCCCTCGTGGTCTTTCAGCTCTAAATCTAGTCTGAAAAGCAGAAGCCAAGTCAACAGCAAGTACAGTCTTTTTCAGACACTCTATACTGACAACCTCGTTTTTTCTCTTTATACTTTTTCAATGACAAATTTTTTTAGCTCCCTTTAACTTTTTAATATATGTAACACTAAAAGATGTTGAAAAGGAATTATTTTTCACTCACAATCCCCCCCTCACAACTGCCTTCTCACTTCTCCAAGTCTCCCTACGTACTGTTTACACTGCAGCAGCTGATTGAACACATATTCGTTCCTGGCCATGATGGACACATGTAAAGGAGTCCTGCAGGACAGAAAGAAGAGGCGTCAGTTCAGGACAGGACCCATCAGGGCAACTCTCAGCAGGGGGAGCCAGAACCCTGGGCAGTCACCACCCATGGGAAATCCCACGTTTCTGCAAGTCTCCTAAAACCATGACCATGCAGCAAAACGTGAAAATGGATCTGCTCATGTTACCATGATTCAGTGGCCAAAACAGACAAGAGTCGGCTAAAGGGAGAGATCCCAAATCCTCCCCCACTCAATACTGACCCCTTACTGAAGGCATATACATGATTTGCTTGAAAACAGCACTTTCTGCCATAGGCGTGAAGATTTTCCCTTATCTATTCTCCATCAATTCTGAAAGGAAACTTCCCCCTAGAATTCTCTGTTCAAACATTCTCAAACTCAGAGCAGCCAGTGATGAAAGCTGCATTTAACCCTTTTCACTGCTTTTATGTAGCACCCAGGAGCCCTGCAGGAGACTTGCCACTACAGAGGTCAGGGCCCAAGGCTGCATCTACTCCTCCTCCTCCACACACACACACACACACACACTGCAGAGTCAGGGCCCAAGGCTGCATCTACCCCCACCCCAACATACACACACTTACTTCAGAACCAGCGCCCAAGGCTGCATCTACCAGACACACACACACACACACACACACACACTGCAGAGTCAGGGCCCAAGGCTGCATGTACCCGCCCCTCCCCCCCCCTACACACACACTGCAGAGTCACAGACCAAGGCTGCATCTACCCGCCTACACACACACACAGACACACACACACAGCAGAGTCAGGGCCCAAGGCTGCATCTACCCCCACCTCCCAACACACACTTCAGAATCAGCGCCCAAGGCTGCATTTACCAGACCCAGACACACACACACACACACACACACACACACTGCAGAGTCAGGGCCCAAGGCTGTATCTACCCACCCCCCACCAACAACACACACACACACACACACACACACACACACACACTTCAGAATCAGCACCCAAGGCTGCATCTACCACACACACACACACACACACACACACACACACTCTGCAGAGTCAGGGCCCAAGGCTGCATCTACCCGCCTACACACACACACACACACACACACACACACACACACTGCAGAGTCAGGGCCTAATGCTGCATCTACCAGACACACACACACACACACACACACACACACACACACACACTGCAGAGTCAGGGCCCAAGGCTGCATCTACCCACCTACACACACACACACACACACACACACACACACACACACACACTGCAAGTTTATTGCTAATGGAGGAAAAAATAGAATCAACAGCAGGGAAACGGATACCATTATTTCAGGAAATAAGGTAATGATCACATGATACTGAGGTTTCATGAAGCTACATCTCATATGTGCCCTACCTGTCACACAGATCCATTTTCCTATTCTGACAACCAAACTTGACAAAAAATGTTGTCTTTTTGAGAGGTTTTTCAAGGGTATAAAATACTGGGCTGTTCTAATGATGTGGGTCCCAACTCTGGTCAGTGATCAGTGACTTAACTGTCCTTCACAGCCTCTCACCAGTGGCCCAAGACAAGTAGCCTTTTCTTAGACGCTAAACCACAAAGAATTCTCAACTAGCTATTTCTGGAAAGGGCAAAGTGAACACAATAAATACTGTCAAATATGGGAAAGGCTGCTACAGATGAAGCTGTGCAGATAAAGTGGGAGCGCTGACAAGGTGAAACTGGGCTTACTACAGAGAATTTCAAATGATTAGACCTCATAAAAATACAACTGATTGTCTGGACTTAGCATGCTCCTCTTCTTCAAACTATCCAAGCAACTCTAAGAAATGCTACAAGATTCACTTGCAGGCACTGGACTAGATGACCACTCTGGCTCCTTTGAACATGAAGATACAAATTGCTTAAAAGCTGAAAGACTGGCTCACACCTGGAAACCCAGCACTCTGGGAGACCGAGGTAGGCAGACTGCTTGAGCTCAGGAGTTCGAGGCCAGCCTGGACAACATGGCAAAACCCTATCTCCAACAAAATACAAAAATCAGCCCAGCGGGGTGGTGCGTGTCTGTAGTCCCAGCTACTCAGGAGGCTGAGGTGGAAGGATCACCTGAGCCTGGGAGGTGGAGCCTGCAGTGAGTCAAGATCGCACCACTGTGCTCCAGCCTGGGCGACAGAGTGAGATGCTGATGCAATTAAAAACAAACAAACAACAAAAAAAAACCCTCAAAGACTCCAGTTACCCAGGATGGAAATATTTTCCCCAGATGTCTCTGGTTTCAGTAGTGCCACTACTACCATACATCCGTGTCTGTGACCTTAATACAAACCAGACTGAACGACACCAAACTCCAGACCAGGAAGTCCCTGCAAGACCACTGCGTGCTACTGGAAGGTCACACCTCCCAAGAACAGTGCTGCGGGCACCGGAGCTCCCCCAGCTCACCTGCCCTTGCTGTCCTGCATGTTGGGGTTGGCGCCGGCCTGCAGGAGGGCCTCTGCAATCTGCGCCATCTCAGACATCACATCTGCTGAGTGTTTCTTTGAACTGTACAAGGCCACGAGGTGCAGCGGTGTCTCCTGGGCACCCAGTGTAGCAGCATTAACCAAGGCCCCGTTCTTAATGAGGAAAGTGGCAGCAAAGAGGTCTCCTTGAAAAGACACAACAGAAGAAACAGTAACACACAACAACACTCAGGGTAAGGTGCTCTGGCCAGTGCCGTCTCAAGAGGCACCAGCAAGTGACTGCAAACTAAGAATGTGTCTGAGGGAACCTCTGGGGGCATCTGTGAGTGGAAACTCATCCCTGAGATCATGGAGTTACAGACGAACTCAAAAGGCTTTGCTCAATCTTGGACTACCTGTTATCACTTATCCTGCCTCCTCACCTCAGCATCTCTTCACTCTTTAAGAATACCAGGCCGGGCGCGGTGGCTCAAGCCTGTAATCCCAGCACTTTGGGAGGCCGAGGCGGGTGGATCACAAGGTCAGGAGATCGAGACCAACCTGGTCAACATGGTAAAACCCCATCTCTACTAAAAATACAAAAAATTAGCTGGGCATGGTGGCACGTGCCTGTAATCCCAGCTACTCAGGAGGCTGAGGCAGGAGAATTGCCTGAACCCAGGAGGCAGAGGTTGCGGTGAGCCGAGATCGCGCCATTGCACTCCAGCCTGGGTAATGAGAGCGAAACTCCGTCTCAAAAAAAAAAAAAAAGAATACCAGGCTTCTATTCTTCAAAGGCTCTTCCAGGCAGCTCTCAGAGGGTGGGAAGGATCCTCCTCACACAATCTCTGTCTCTCTTCTCCTTTCCTGACCACAGCTTGTAGCTAACTAAGCAACACCTGCCCCCATTCTGCTGTACTTGCATACAGGTTCCTACTCAGAGTAAACCCATGCCTGTTTTAGTATTAAACAATTTTTCTTTTTAGTTTTTTTCCCCCCAGACAGAGTCTTGCTCTGTTGCCCAGACTGGAGTGCAGTGGTGCAATCTTAGCTCACTGCAACTTCCACCTCCGGGGTTCAAGCAATGCTCATGCCTCAGCCTCTCGAATAGCTCAGATTACAGGCATATGCCACCATGCCGGGCTAACTTTTTGTATTTTAGCACAGACAAGGTTTCGCCATGGTGCACATGCTAGTCTCCATTTCATGAGCTCCAACCACCTGCCTCAGCCTCTCCAAGTGCTAGGATTACAGATGTGAGCCACTACCCCGACCTCTTTTCAGTTTTGTTATCTCATTACACACACATAACTGACTTAACAAGAAGTTTACAATGAAATATTTGAACAAAGTATCTGTACACATTCCTATTTCCAAACCTTTCACATGGTAAATAACCTTATTGTGAAAACAAAATTCCCTTCTAAATTCCTTCCACTGATTTAACGCTTGGAGTATTACAGGTAAAAGAGTCTACCTGAAACTATTTACAAACATCTAATAAGACTGAATAATATCTGAGTGCTTTGGAAGGCCGAGGCAGAAGGATGGCTTGAGCCCAAGAGTACAAGACCAGCCTGGCAACATTGGGAAACGCCATCTCTACAAAACAACTTAGCAAGGAATGGTGGCACATACCTGTGGTTCCAGTTACTCAGGAGGCTGAGGTGGGAGGACTGTTTGAGCCCCAGAGTTCGAGACTGCAGTGGGCTCTGAGTGTGCCACTGCACTCTAGCCTGGGTGACACACAGAGATCTTGACTCAAAAATCCATTCTTCTTTTTTGAGACAAAGTCTCACCCCCATCACCCAGGCTGGTGTGCACTGGCACGATCACGGCTCACTGCAGCCTCAACTTCTTAGGCTCAGGGGATTCTCCTACCTCAGCCTCCTGAGGAGCTGAGACTACAGGCACGCACATCACCATGCTTGGCTTATTTTTTATATTTTTAGTAAAGACAGGGTTTCACCATGTTACCCAGGCTGGTCTCCAAACCCTGGGCTCAAAAGATCCACCTGTCTCAGGCTCCCAAAGTGCTGGGATTACAGGCATGAGCCACTGCACCTGGCCAAAATCCATTAATTTTAATAGCTTGATTTACCGTCTTTGACTATGCTCTGTAGGAGGGAATAAAACTACTTTGACATGTTAATAAAAGGCCAAGAATTAAGTTTAAGATATTAAAGGTATACATCTGTGACAATACTTTTCAGACACTAGTAAAGAGAAATAGACTCTAGATTGGTTGTACAAATACACAGTCAGACTAAGAAGTAACTAATCTGACAAGTGGCCATTTAATGTTAAAAATACTTGTGAAATTCTTCATAAAGATAAAAAAAGAAAAGGGAAAAATACTTGTGAAGAACCAGTTAAAGTATACTTGTCAAGTTAACTTGGAGAATGACAAAGACTAAACAATTAAATTTAACATTACTTAAAGTTCAATCTTACTTGGATTTATCTCTAAAATTTAAAACATACAAACATACTATGTATATATAAAATTTATGCTTCTTAAGAAAACAAGGCAAGAATAGCAAAGCATCATAATATATACGGAACAGAAACCTGTTAAAAAGGTTTGGAGGCCGGGCGCGGTGGCTCACGCCTATAATCCCAGCACTTTGGGAGGCCAAGACTGGTGGATCACAAGGTCAAGAGATCGAGACCATCCTGGTCAACATGGTGAAACCCCGTCTCTATTAAAAATACAAAAATTAGCTGGGCATGGTGGCGCACGCCTGTAGTCCCAGCTTCTCGGGAGGCTGAGGCAGGAGAATTGCCTGAACCCAAGAGGCGGAGATTGTGGTGAGCCGAGATCACGCCATTGCACTCCAGCCTGGGTAATGAGCGAAACTCTGACTCCAAAAAAAAAAAAAAAAAAAAAAAAAAAGGTTTGGGGCATTACACCACGCTGGGTGAGAGCAATTGCTCTCAGTGGCCTCCAGGTGGCACCAATGAGCTCATACCGGGAAAGTTGGGTTTTGGGGAATTTTTTTTTTTTTTTTTTTTAAGACAGGCTCTCTGTCACCCAGGCTGAAGTACAGTTGCATCATCATGGCTTACTGCAGCCTCGACCTCTGGGGCTCAGGTGATCCTCCCACCTCGACCTCCCGAGTACCTGGGACTACACAACACACCCAGCTAATTTTTGTGTTTTTGGAAGAGATGGGTTTTGCCACATTGCCCAAACTGGTCTTGAACTCCTGGGCTCAAGCAATCTGCCCACCTCAGCCTCCCAAAGTGTTGGGATTACAGGCGTGAGCCATGGCCCCTAGTCTGGAAAGTCTTTCGAGGGTTCAGTTAAACATCTTCCAAGTCAAACTCATCTGCAACTTGAAATCCGCACATGAAACTTCGACGGCTGAAATGTAAGTTGACCCAAGAGCTGGGACTCAGAGGCACTTTCTGCAGATGCGGTCTCCATCTCCCCAAGGGCTACAGGGTGAATTTCTTGCAAATCACATCTTTCTTCAGCTGGATGATCCCCAAAATGCAGAACAATGCCCCAGAGTCTGATTTGCTGGTCCCATGAAAGCTGACTACACTCCTTAAATGTGTGGGTGGTCTTGGGATGAATGCTGGATTGTTGAAGGTGCCTTGGCACGTCTTTCTTTTATGGATCACAGGCAATGGTGTTCCTTCCACAGTCCATCTGCTTTTGTCTTTGCATCAAGACACTTTGATTGGTTCCTAATTGTTTGAATTGTGGGTGCAGACTCCGTTGAGTCACAACTTCAAGACAAGGATTTTCTCTCTTCCAAAGTTTTCTCTTTACATCTTAAGATGTCATCTCCTTCAACTACACAGCTACAGTCTGAACACCTAAAATGGGGTTTCAGGAGTGGTAAAGCTCTCTCAATTCTGTTGCCTGTATTCCTGTACGCATTTTCATTTGAGTATTCAGGTGTCATCTGGTTCTCAGTGGGTACAAAATTAGAAAATCATTTGCTTTTGTTTTGGTTTCTGGTTTTTTGAGATAGGGTCTGGCTCTGCTGCTCAAGTTGGAGTGCAGCAGTGTAAACACGGCTTACTGCAGCCTCAGCAGCCCAGCCTCAAGCCTCTTGCCTCAGCCTCCCTACTAGCCAGGAGTACAGGTGTATGACACTCTGCCCGGCTCATTTAAAAATTTTTTTTGTAGGGATAAGGTTTCACTATGTTGCCTAGGCTGGACTCGAACTCCTGGCCTCAAGTGATCCTCCCACCTTGGCCACTCGAAGTACTGGGATTAAAGGCGTGAGCCACTGCACCCAGGCTGTCTGTTTTCCAACACTTCCCATCTGCTCTATGCTTTCTTCCAAGGTACCATCTTGCTAGAGAATGTGGGCTCTGGCACTGGGGCAGCCGAGAGGCCTCAGACGCTGACTCGCTCCTCAGATGCTGGATTGGCTCGTGTCTGATTTTTTTTTTTTTTCGTATTCACACTGTCTCATATAAAACAGACCCTGGGGAAATGTTTGCGAAGCAAATGGATTGACTGGTTGAGGCTATTAGGTTCTACGTTATCAGAAAGGCTCTAATTTGGAGTAAGTATGACTTCAGGTAAATTAACAATTTTCCAATCAGTCCCTTCTCAAAATATTTTCATTCTTCTGCTCCCACTCTGGGTGGGGCAGGGGTACAGAAGGGTGCAATCTTTACCAGTATCAGGTGCAAAGGGCTAAAGCTTAGATTTCTTTATAGTAGAGAGGCAGTAAAGCACTACAGGTAACATGCACATGGGGGACTAGGCCAGGTCAGGCCTTTGCTATCCATTCATACAGGTACACAGAGGGCCCTACTCTGTATCATGAACAAACACCACATGGATTTGGTATACAAGAAAATACGTAAAGACAACAATACATTAGCAATAAAACAAAATATCCTAGAGACAGCCACCAACATTCTGGGAGTAGAAAAAAACTTTAGAACTATTGGGACAAAGAGCCTTAATGAAAAGTCCAAAATATGAGAAACTCGGGGGAGAAGGGATAACGTAGTTTCATTATTTTTAAGCTTAAAATATATTCCAAACCAAGACACAAATACATAGTGGCTGGGCACAGTGGCTCACACCTGTAATCCCAGTAGTTTGGGAGGCCGAGGCAGGGGGGTCACTTGAGGCCAGGTGTTTCAGAGCAGCCTGACCAACATGGCAAACCCAATCTCTGCAAAAATACAAAAATCAGCCAAGCGTAGTGGCACACACCTGTAGTCCCAGCTACTAGGGAGGCTGAGGCATGAGAATCACTTAAACTTGGGAGGTGGAGGTTGCAGTGAGCTGAAATTGGACCACTGCACTGCAACCTGGGTGACAGAGCAAGGCTCTGTCTCAAAAAAAAAAAAAAAAAAAAAAAAAGAGAGAGATAGAAATACACAGTAAAGCTAAAACAAGATAGGTTAATGAGAAATGTATAATACACCATACATACAGAAGATAAACTGGGCAATACAACACAGGTATATGAAAGCCTATGAATGGCTGGATTCAGATGGAAGGCATGATTTAAAAAATTGTATATCTTAAACCCATAAGTCCCCTTGGAAGAATTATAGATTTCGGATCAGATTTACTTTATTAGTAAGATCCAAATATAAAGTTCTTTTTACCTATAATCATACACACATATACATAAATATATGCACCCCGCACAAACTATTAGAAATTACTAGAAATAGAAAATTAAGAAAGTTTTACATTAAAAGCAAGTCAGCTCAGAGGGTACATAAAGGAAGGGAAAAAGATAACTGATATCAGAAGAGCAGAACAAAGGGAGGAACAGAAAATGCCAAAGGCACCATTAATGAGGTTTCTGTCCATAAGAAAGTGGGTAATACAGTTCAGATGTTTTGATTTCAAATCATCAAAAACAGTTCAAATAAAAACTTGATTCCAAGATTCAGTTACTTCATCACCTCATTCACTGACACTCGCAGGTAAATGAGGCACAACTATCATAAGCTGTCCACATAAAAATATTCTTAACAGTAAAGTCCACACTAAAACAATCCATGTACAGTATTTCTCTCGATGTGGCCTCTGGACAGCTCTATTCAGACAGTAGCCTTCATTATTCCACTCATACAAACCACATTTCATGCTGCTCCAGTTGGTGACATCATTTTCAAATTTACTAAAAATAATTAACAGGAGCATACTCCAGAACCCCACTGACTGATGCTGGTTATTAAGGTAAAAAAGTTTAGGAAGAATTGTTTGTATCAAGTGAAGGCTCACCTTCTTGCTGAGATCAGGCTGCTCGAAGGAGATGACCTCCTTGGCCATACCTGGGCCTCCTGGGGGCTCCCCCAGAGACACTGCCTGCCTGTTCCCTTCTTCAGACAAAATGACTGGTTTACTTGGTTATCAGGATGATCACTGACCATTTTGTTTATAGATTCTAATGTGTGCTCACATTATATTAAACCTAAATCCCATATATTACAGACTTTGACTCTTAACAGGGAAAGTGAAAAAAAATCCTACAGGAACTGAATCTGGTGGTGGCGTTCCGATGCAGGGTCAAGGTACGAACTGCAGGGCTGACCCTACCTGTCACCTGGTAATCACTGCTGGGTGTACTACCAACCCTGTCTCGCATTCTCTGAACAAACAAATAAAGCATAAATGATTCCCACTTTATGGATAAGACTCAGAATGTGACTTACCCGAGGTCACAGAGTCAACAGATTAGCTAAGATTCAAACCTTGGTACATACAAGCTTCATAGCCAGTGCTCTGTCTACCGTAACATGCCACACTCTCCAAAGTTAGCAAAATCTACTTCATTATACTCACACTGTAACCCACATATTTGCAGGCAATTAATAAACTCAGAGTGGAAGATTAAATCATCATTTGAAAATAAACATCAAAAATAGATCACTAATTCTTGGCAATTCTTGTAACTAAGCAATCACCAAAATATTTATTAACTCAAAAATGTTTTATCATCAAACAAGAATTATCTCCCTGAAAGGAAAGAAACAAAATTCTCAGACTTTTTTTTTTTTTTTTTTTTTAAGTAATGGGGTATTTGTTTCCAAGATAAACATCTCAGACACTCATCAGTGTGGGAAAGAATCAGTCCCTCCCTGGTGAGATTTCCCCACTGAATGCATACTCAGTGCTAAGCACCCACTGGCTTTGCACAGCACAGAATGGTGCTTGGGAAAAACGCCATCTCGTCTTGACATTGACATACTCCAAGGATTTCCTACCCAGTGATGAGCAGAATGTTCCTCTCTACCAGCCAGCAAGCTCAGCACTCCAACACATGGCTAACAAGGATATCTGTGTTAAAACCTTTGCCCAAAAAGGACAAAGCTGGCACAGGACCACATCTTGACGTAACTACATTCTACCAACTAGGAGCAATTTGTGAATGGCAAAAGGTAGTATAGACAAGAATGGAGTAACAATGCATCACCGAAAGGGGAAAATATCAATGATTAAGATGGAGTGAAACGACTACATTCTCTCTTTGACGACTACATGTAAATAACAAAAAAGTGGACATGGCAATGTATTCCAATCAAGTCAACCATCCCGCCACAGAATTAACGCTTCGACACTTTTGAAAGCTTTCATTCCTTACTGGAGCTCTACCTCTGTACAGATTTCACTGGGTCGAAAATGACCACTGCAAAGCAACATCAGCCAGGATCCATTTGCGACTTAGGAACTGGTAAGACCATGAAAAAAACTAAACAAAAAACTGGTATTGTTTTTTCCTTTGAGAAGTTAATTCATTAAGATTAAAATGTTTTGTTCTCAAGTTTATCCTTTCTAGATTCTTTCAACTACCAACAATGTATTCGAAATATAGCTACAATTCCAAATAACTTTGCTAGAACAAAATGAAACTTTATCAATTTACCTTAATAGAGGTAGAATATGTCTAAACATTGATGGTTTTGATACTATCCTGTATCTGTGGTAGGACAGAAAAGCAAAACCTTCCTAGCACAATTCCTGGAGAAAGTGACCCACTGAGCAAGCGAACATATCAGGTGCTTACAAGTAAAAGGTACTTCCTCACACATAGGACCATCTTTAGAGCCTTTCTTCTGGGGCCTTGTTGGCACCATGAATGGCCAAGCTAACAAGACCTAGGGAACAGCCATGATCAAATTCTCAATCATGGCCCATGATCAAATTCTAAATCATGCAGCCTGTGAGTATAGACTAGAGAAGGCTTCGAGAATTTTTGAAACAAGGTCAGAAAGTCTTCAAAAATTACTTGGATAAAAATAAAATTGCCTGCAGAGAAAAACATAAAATCCACCTCTTCCCACCTCTTTGGATTCCTTTGTGTAACAAGCTCCAGCCATGCTTGTCCACCATGTCCACATCAGCTTTGTGGCTAACCAGCGTGGTGGCAATACTCTCCAGTCGTCGTGAAAGGGCTAGATCTAATGCCAGATCTCCATTATGATCCGCCTCATTCAGCTTCCCAGGGAGCTACACAAACAAGTTTGTAAATTAGTGTCTAGTGAGTAGAGAATACGACCTATTTTAATTTCTCCCACCTTGACCCTTAAATATCATCTCCTCTACAAAACTCCAATTTAAGTGCTCTGACACTGCTTACTCCCTAAATTCAACTTCGTCAGAAACTTCTATCAGGCTTCCTTAGGGCACATAGTTTCTGGGAGGGCAGAATTAGTGGGGACCAGACAGCAAATATAAACAACGTGGGAGACAAGGTAAGAATCACAGGGAAATGTGGACAGAGTGCCATGGGGCACGACTGCCAGGGCAGAGGTTCGGAGGGCTTCTTGGTCAAGAGCTCATGTTTTCATGAAAGGCGGTAGCTTTCCTACCTCATTCTTCCCAGCAGTTCAATGTCTCCCAGTGCACTGACCCCCAGGATAAAACATACCTCGTTCCCATCTGTCAAGAGCCATGACATTTCGTTTAAGGTAACGTAGAAGGCAGAATTATAGCCCCCCAAAGATGTACATGTCCTAATCCCTAGAACCTGTAAACATGTCACATTACATGGCAAAAGGCACGCTGAAGATGTGATGAAGGGGAAGGACCTTGAGATGGGGAGGGCACCCCAGGTCATCCAGGAGGGCCCAATCTAACTCACCACATAAGCTCTTACAAGTGAAAACGGGAACCGGAAGACTAAGTCCGAGAGATGGGACACGAGAGGGACATGACCCACCACTGCTGGCTTTTAAGACAAAAGCCAGGGCTCTGAGCTAAGGAATGTGTGGTGGCCTCTAGAAGGCGGGAAAGGCCCTCAGCTGACAGCTGGCAAGAAAACAGGGACCTCGATCCTCTAACTGCAAGAATCTGAATTCTGCCAAAAACCCAAATGAGCAGGAAATGGATTCTCCTCTAGAGTCTCTGGAAAGAAGCACAGCCTCTTGACACCCTGATTTTAGGCCAGTGACTCCTGTCCCAGACTTCCAACCTATTATCAATTAAGTTGATGGTAACTTATTATAGCAGCAAAAGTAAACTAATACAGATTTAGCACCTGGAAGTTAAGAAGTATTGTTACCAAAAAAAAAAAAAAAAAAACTACCTAAAAGCATGTGAGAAGTTTTTAAATTGGGCAATGGGCTAAGGCTGGAAGGATTTTGAGGAACATGTTAGAAGAGCTCAGCTTGCCTTGAACAAACTATTTAGTAGAAATCCATACATTAAAGACCATGCCAAGGATGGCTCCAATGGAAGTGAGGAGTACCATGGAAAAAATAAGTGCATTACAACTTTGGGAAATGAAAAATGGAAAAGGCAGCTACAGTACCTGGGAATCCATTTCAATCAGATACAGGAAGACCACATCTTCTCTCTCCACTTTGATAGCTTTATGTAGAGGGTACTCTGTCTTGGATTTGATCATTTTGTATAACAACTGAGCACTCATGCTACTGAAATCCTCCTTTCTCAAGTCATCCTAAGAATTCATAATATAGTAAAAAGCAGAACAGATACAAAACAATAAAAACAACTCCCATTAGTAAGCCCTTAAAATGCAGCAGTCAGGCTTGAATTTAAGAGCTTAACATTTCCCAGCTCATTTATTTCTCCCCCAAACCCAATGAGGTAAGTACTTGATCATCCCCACTTTACAGAAGAAAAAAGTAAAGCATAAGGAGATTAGGTAACTTGCTCAAGTTCAGACAGTCCTTAAATGGCTAGGGAACCAGACGGCCTGTGTTCTGAGCCTCACTCTTTACCCTAGTACTACTGAGTCTCCCAGTGAGATGGAAAAGCACATGCTTACCTCTAACAGGAATGCACCCTGAGGGAGCCTCCACCTGAGAGCAGGGAGTCCGCCTGCCACCCCCACAAAGATGGCAGTTACAAAGTCAATTAGAACTTCACAAACAAGTCACTCCACTGGGTCATAGCTGGTCCCTATTATTGCAGCTCTCTATATTTCTACCTATGTTAACTGAAAGGTTTCCAATCCTGTTTCAATTCCTTAAAATCCAGTGCTTTTCTATCTTGGTTATGAGAAGGAAAAGGAAAGAAAAATTAAAAAAAAAGAAAAAATCCAGTGCTTTTAGCCATCTTTTCTGAAACTCTAAGGCTTTTCCCACAATGTTGCTGAATACCAAACAATTCGCAGAAAATAATTTGCAAAAGGTAGCACTAGCCCTGATTTCTTAAAACTGCTAACAACAACAACAAAAAATTAAACACTGTTCTTTATGATGAAAACAACCTAAGGAAGACAAATCTCAATTTAAAGATGCTCTCCACCTGGTGTAGAGAGCAAGGGCAAGCTGTGAAACTGTGTGCTGAGTACTGCAGAGCCTGCCGGCCACAGAGCCACACCCTATTCCTGCAGCTCAGCTGCAGCTTCCGCAGATGGAGGGTGAAGACAGGCAATGCTTCCAAGCCTGTTTCTGAACCTGAGCTATCTTTTTTGGGTGGTGGAGACAAGAGTCTCACTCTGTCCCCCAGGCTGGGGTGCAGTGGTATGATCTTGGCTCACCGCAACCTCCACCTCCCAGGTTTAAGCAATTCTCACGCCCCCGCCTCCCGAGTAGCTGGGATTAAAAAGCATGCACCACTGAGCCTGGCTGATTTTTGTATTTTTAGTAGAGACGGGCTTTCACCATGTTGGCCAGGCTGGTCTCGAACTCCTGATTTCGAGTGGTCTGCCTACCTCAGCCTCCCAAAGTGCTGGAATTGCAGGCATGAGCCACAGCACCCAGCCCAACCTGAGCTATCTTTTGTCCTTCCATTCTGAAATCACAGAGCTACCAGAATTTCAGAGCAGAAGAGTCTCACAGATCATCTAATCAAACGATTTATTCTTCAATTGTGTAACAAGAGAAAACTAGGTGCCAGAGAGGTACCTTCCCATGGAGCTACGTCCCAGGCCTCGGTCCCCTGACTGCGGTGCCAGAGAGGTACCCTCCCATGGAGCTACGTCCCAGGCCTCGGTCCCCTGACTGCGATGCCAGAGACGTACCTTCCCATGGAGCTACGTCCCAGGCCTCAGTCCCCTGACTGCGATGCCAGAGAGGTACCTTCCCATGGAGCTATGTCCCAGGCCTCCGTCCCCGACTGCGATGCCAGAGAGGTACCTTCCCATGGAGGTACGTCCCAGGCCTCAGTCCCCGACTGCGGTGCCACAGAGGTACCTTCCCATGGAGGTACGTCCCAGGCCTTGGTCTCAGTTACAGTGCTTTGTCAGTACCCCTCAAGCTCTCACTCACCCAGTGACTTGCAATAATTTCTGCACAGTAGTTCATCAGGGTGCTGGCATTCAGTTCCTCTGCCGTCTGGTAGAAGCGAATACAGTTCCTGACATTCACTAGAGACATAACACCCTTCTCACACCTGTAAGAGAGTATTCATGATGGGCAGGATTACTAGCAAATATATTCATAAATGAACAGACCAGAGCAATACCCAGTGTACTGACTGGCTATGTCCTGTTAATAACACTACGGGGTAAGGTTAAACAACGTATTATGAATAAATTACAGCTGGTCTCCAAATTTTAAAAGTACTAGAATTTCATTACGATATTTCATTGCTCAGTTTTGGTCAGAAACAAACTAATATGCAAATAAACTTACTAAGCATAATACCCCAACTGCCTTAACAGTAAGCATGTGACAGTCGCTGATCATATAGACAGGTAATTGTCAAATCAAGCACAAAATGGACCAACCTCTGTCCTTCAAAGGACATGTAATTGTATGGAACATGGCTTTAGTTCCCACTAGCACAACTGTATCATGCAAACAGTGTGGATTAGAAATAGTTTCAAACATGAGCTCTATGCCTCAGTAACTAACACCTCCTTAAAAGCTCTGTAAGATGAATGTGCATGGTATGTGAATTATAACTCAATAAAGTTATATTTTTAAAGTCCACCTACAGTATCTATAATGTTTAGAAAAAATAGACAAATCACCCAGGCATGGTGGCTCATGCCTGTAATCCTAGGACTTTGGGAGGTCGAGGCAGGCAGACTGCCTGAGCTCAGGAATTCAAGACCAGCCTGGCCAACATGGTGAAATCCTGTCTGTACTAAAAACACAAAAACAAACTAGCTGAGTGTGGTGGTGGGCGCCTGTAGTCCCAGATACTCGAGAAGTTGAGGCACAAGAATTGCTTGAACCCAGGAGGCAGAGGTTGCAGCCAGCTGAGATCATGCCACTGCACTCCAGCCTGGGTGACAGGCAAGACTCTGTTTAAAAAAAAAAAAAAAAGAAAAGAAAAGAAAAAAGAAAAAATAGCCAAATCATAGTACCCCACCACCACCAAAAAAAAAAATCAGATTTCTAGTACAACAACAAAAGCACAGTACACCAAAATAGAGAAAAATGGGCTACAATGGATGTCCTCATAAAGCCAGGTAGTAACAAAAACAGGATTCTTTCAGAATCATTAAAAGGAAAACATGGCCAGGTGCAGAAGTTCACGCCTGTAATCCCAGCACTCTGGGAAGCCAAGGTAGGAGGATTACTTGTGTCCATGAGTTCAAGACCAGCTTGGGCAACACAGCAAGACCCTGTATCTACCAAAGCAATTTAGAAATTAGCCAGGCATGGTAGCGTGTGCCTGTAGTCCCAGCTACTCAGGAGGCTGAAGTGACAGGATCACTTGAGCCCAGGAGTTCAAAGCTGCAGTGAGCCATGATCATACTACTGTACTCCTGCCTAGATGACAGATGGAGACCTTGTCTCAAAACAAAACAAAACAAAACCGTCAACTACCCATCAGAGAAGAGAGAGCTGAAGGCAGGCAAACAGGTCTCTGGTAGCAAGAGCAGGACCACATCGTAGTATGGAAGATACAGCATTGGAAAGACCACACTTCCTCTCCCCTAGAATTCCTGGAAGCCTTAGGGGGTCTCCTATGACATCAGGTCTATGGGTAAAAGAAGGCCAGGGCATAGTCCTTCAGCTTCCTTGCCTCCACAACTCCCTCCAAATCAGGTTCACCTCCAAGGGCAGCCACAGAGGACTAGTATGGTTTCATGAGATTTCCTGACATCCACCATTGTTTTCCCCGCCAACAGCAGCCACCAGAACACAAAGGCAGAATGTGGTGGACAGAGCAAAATAAACAAACAATGAGGTAAGAAAGATCTGAGTTGAGACCCATTAAATTTTAGGGGCCACATTACTTGGGCTCTCTGTGCCCTGTCTCCTCCTCTGTAAAATGAAGATGTTACTCTCCTTCAGATGTTTGAGGAATACTTCTGTGTTTGTCAAGATAGAGGAGAACTAGTTACCCTCAGCACAGCTTGAGGTATGTAGTCGACATGCCCGTAAGTTTTAGGGCCCTCTCCTAGCCCGTCTCGTCTCTCAAGTCTGAAATGCCTTTACTAAGGAAGAAGCATATGATTTTAATAACCCACATTCGTGGACGTCAGTCCTGTTAACAATAACCAGCTAGCAGCTAATTCCCAGTCTTAAAAGATAAGCTTCAGGTAACAGAGTAGAAAAGGACTACCGGAGGGGGTGATGGAGGAAGAAAGAAGGAAGGTCACAAGAAAGACCTGGGAAGAATGAAGAACACACTTTCAAACCTCACACAGGAGAGGCTAGGAGCAAGAATGTAATCTTGGAGTCATTTTCTACTTAGCAATAAATGCAAGCACCTGCTTTACACTAAGACCTGTCAAAGTTTTGGTATTTTTTGTTGTTGGTGGGTTTTTTTTTTTTTTCTTTTTTTGAGCAGAGTCTTGCTCTGTCGCCCAGGCTGGCATACAGTGGCATGATCTCAGCTCACTGCAACTTCTACCTCCTGGGTTCAAGCAATTCTCCTGCTTCAGCCTCTCGAGTAGCTGGGATTACAGGCACGCACAGCCAAGCTCAGTTAATTTTTGTATTTTTAGTAGAGACAGGGTTTCACTATGTTGTCCAGGCTGGGCGCTTTGTTTTTAATTAACATAACTGACTTGGGGTAAGGAAGTATCTCTCCCAGGGCACTTAAAAAATCATGTTGTTATAATATCCAAGTAAGTTATATTAATAAGTTATAATAAATAAGAACGTAAGTTCCGTACACAGCATGATATTTCTAAGCCTCAGTTTTCTGTACCATTGGCTTCTCTAAACCTGTAGCACACCACATCAACATCTGACAAAGTCACTCTAACCTCAGCTATGAAATCAGAGCATTCAGGAGAAAAATCCTCTTTTCAGATATATGAAGCTCTTACCACTTTTACAACTAATATTCAGTGCGCCTTCCTAACATCCTAACAGGCAGTCTAATACACAGTGTGATCCCAGGAAGTAATGACTCACATTTGTAGAGCACTTTACAAAGCACTTTTACAGACAAATACTGAGAATCTGAAAATTCCATTCTCCTTTTTACTGTCAAATGATATTGTGCCAAGGGACTCAAATATGTTTCAGGAAGACAGATCTTTTTATTAAAGCTGGCAGACATTTCACTGTCACCAATTCTAGGATCTCCAGAGTGTCATTTGCCATTTGGATAGATTGTAAATAGTAACTGACATGATTTATGCAACCAACGAACACGTAATCTTATTTAGAAATTCAGATTCTCAGCCGGGCGCGGTGGCTCACGCCTGTAATCCCAGCACTTTGGGAGGCCGAGGCGGGTGGATCACAAGGTCGAGAGATCGAGACCATCCTGGTCAACATGGTGAAACCCCATCTCTACTAAAAATACAAAAAATTAGCTGGGCATGGCGGCGCGTGCCTGTAATCCCAGCTACTCAGGAGGCTGAGGCAGGAGAATTGCCTGAACCCAGGAGGCGGAGGTTGCGGTGAGCCGAGATCACGCCATTGCACTCCAGCCTGGGTAACAAGAGCGAAACTCCGTCTCCAAATAAATAAATAAATAAATAAGTAAATTTAAAAATTAAAAAGGAACACCACCAAACGAATCAAGAAGACAAATCAAATAAACCAAGGCTAATTAAAAAAAAAAAATTAAAAAAAAAAAAAAGAAATTCAGATTCTCGGTTCCTATATTCTCTTTGAAAATAGCAAGACAGACTAACTTTCACCCAAAGGGAATTTTTTAATTATTATTTTTAACTTTAGAGTACAGAAAGGATATGGATGTACAAAAACAACAAACCTAATTTTAAAAGTATAAAATCAAGCATATATTTAAACGTCCCAAAAACTCTGTCTAGTTTTCAAATCACTCTTGAGTGGATGTGGGAAAAAGAAAAATTACTGAAAAGAAAAATGACAGGCAAACAGTGAATTAGTTACAAGTGACTTTTTTCTTTACATCATTCTGTATTTTCCAAATATCACACACTGAACATGTATTATAAATTTGTAAGGAGAAAAATATTACCTATCATTTTTTAGTATGCATTAATTCTCTCTTTTTTAAAAAAAAACAATAGCCAGGTGTGGTGACTCATGCCTCTTAGCACTTTGGGAGGCCAAGGTGGGCAGATCACCTGATGTCAAGAGTTCAAGACTAGCCTGGCCAACATGGCAAAACCCTGCCTCTACTAAAAATACAAAAATTGGCCGGGCATAATGGTGGGCGTCTGTAATCCCAGTTACTCAGGAGGCCGAGGCAGGAGAATCGCTTGAACCAGGGATGGAGGTTGCAGTGAGCCGAGACTGCGTCACTGCCCTCCAGCCTGGGCAACAAGAGCAAAACTTCGTCTCAAAAGATAAACAAATAAATGAATAAATAAATAAAACAGCCAGGTGCGGTGGCTCATGCCTATAATTCCAGCACTTTGGGAGGCTGAGGCAGAAGGATCACTCAAGGTCAGGAATTCGAGACTAGCATGGGTAACATGGTGAAACTCTGCCTCTGATAAAAATACAAAATTAGCCAGGCATGGTGACATGCGCCTATAATCCCAGCTACTCAGGAGGCTGAGGCAGGAGAATCACTTGAACCTGGAGGCAGAAGCTGCAGTGAGCTGAGATGGCGCCACTGCACTCCAGCCTGGGTGACACAGTGAGACTCTGTCTCAAAAAACAAAAAGAAAAAAAAAGCAAAAGAGTATTTTCTTCAGTGTGCCCTCTAGGGTAGAAAAAAAAGAAAAAAAGTATTTTCCTGATAATTCTTACTATAAAAACTTCTTTTTCATTAAATTGGTGCCAAGATCCCTACGTTACAAAAAAAAGTAACGCCTGCCTCACATTGAAGTGCCTGCCTCTGTCGGCACCCTTTCAATTACCATCTCAAACATGTAATTCCTTTCAAGGACAGCAGTAGGCACTCTATGATCCTTTAAAGGCCAACACTTGAATCCATTCCTGTTGTCTTCCACTTCAGCTCTTAAGAAAGCCATGACAGATAATAACCCAATAATCACATCCAACAATACAAAATGAAGCATCTGGTAATGTTGACAGTTATGAAGCCTACTCAGTCAATACACAAGAGTTTAATTAAAGAATCCATTACACACATTACAATGCTCTAAACTACTCCAACCCGAACCTTTGTATCAAAGCAACTTAATTTATATAAGCAAGTTTGACAGGGTCAGTAGGAGAAAGCTCAGGAAGTCTGGAAAAAAGACATAAATCATACTCGCTCTAATTAAAATCAGATAGTCGCTCTAATTAAAATCAGTCTCATTTCACTCTCACCAAAACTCACCAAAACAAATTAACAACAAACGAAAGCGTTAACTGAATGGCCTCACCAGTAAAGTTAGCTTTGCTAATAACCTAATACTGTATGCTTTTGCTTTTGTTATTGGATTTAGATATTAAAATGCATGCAAAACCACATCGATAACAGACAGGAGTCAGCTGTCTACTGGTTTCATGTGGGAGAACAGAGTCCTCCAGGGAAAACAGCAGCCCCGTCATGAAACAGCGAGCAGCTCTAGGCAGCAAAGTCTCTCTGGGCTCTCTGGGGAAAAACACAGCAACAGTTGGAGTGCCTCTTGATGGCTGAAACCAACCCTTCATTCACCCAGGAGAACAGCCATTCCTTTAGGCACCCAGTGAAATACAAAAGATCACTAAATGCTATAAAAAGACACTCCGTCATCCAAGCTGATTACCAAGAGCCACATCTCCAGAAGACAGACGCTGCAGGACATACTGCCTGACATTACTTAGTGAACGTTTTGTTTTCTGTTGTTCTAAAATGCCAAGTTGGGAGAGCAACAGAGAAAACGCAACATAAAAACAGAGCATGCTACCTCCTAGACAACCTAAAATGCAGTAAACTTCACTGAAGTGAGTTCTCTGGAACACTGGCTATGAAACTTATCTGAACAATACTTTCACTTATCAATTTAGGCATTCATTGTTTCCAACAATAAGACTATGGCTAAGGACTTCATTCAACTAGATATATCAGAAAATAGAGTAACATGTCAAGGAAAACAGAAAGGGAAGGAAAGCTGCACGTCTGGACACCGGACTACATTATTTCATATTTAATTTTTCAGTTTATACAATTGTGTAATTTCAGGTAACAGTGCAGTGAAAGAAAACAGCAAAAGCTTTAGCAGAATTTAGCTACAAGATAACACCAAGGAAGGGAGATAACAAATTCTCTCCCCACCATCGCCTTTGAGAGAACACCCTGCAGAGGTTATTTACATGAGCAGAAGCAGCCGTTTTCCCAGAGCTCGGCATAATGAAAGCTCGGCCACCACCATCTGAGGTGCGTGAACAGATCTGCTGTGACTTGCCTCTCCCTGAGGAGCTGCAGCTGAAACCGATTTGCTAGTTTCATCAATTCCGTCAGGAACACGTCATCCTCTCTGAACTCCAACTCGTCCGTATAGATCCAGCGAAGCATTGTCATCGTCACCTCGGGGTCAGCATCTGGTTAAACAAAGCAGAGAGAACAACTGAATGCTCGGACTTTCTCGAGGGACCCCTAAAATTGGAGGCTAATAAATGACAGTATACCCAACTTAAAGAAGTATCACACAGCCATTAAAACTGTGGCTAAGCAGTCTGGGCAGCATCTGACTCTAAAGTTTTGCAGTGAGTGGGGAAGTGAACCTACTAAAGATATGTTGAATAAATTGGGGGAAATATTTGAAACCTCTGACAGAGAGTTCACATTCTTTTTTTCTGTTGAGACAGGGTCTCAGTATGTCCCCCAGGCTGGAATGCAGTGGCACAATCACACCTCACTGAGGCCTCCAACTCCCTGGGCTCAGGTGATCCTTCCACCTCAGCCTCCCGAGTAGCTGGGACGACAGATGTGTGCTAGCATGCCAGGTTAATTTTTGTATTTTTTTGTTGAGACAGGGTTTCACTGTATTGCCCAGGCTGGTCTCGAAATCCTGCGCTCAAATGATCCTCCTGCCTTGGCCTCCCAAAGTGTTAGGATTCCAGGTGTGAGTTACTTCACTCAGCCGCAGCTCACACATTCTTTATAATAAAAATACCTTACAAATAAAAAGACGGATACCCAGTGGAAAAATGGGCAATGGATATAAATAGGTAATTCACAAAGATAAATAATGGCCAATAAACCTTACTGATAACCAAACACAAATTTATGCCAGAGTACGTTTTCTCTCAGAGCAGCAAAGATGTTTTTAAAGAACATCACCTTTTACATAGCAACTACACATGTAGATTATTATCCTAAGACAATAATTGGACAAATACAGAAAAATGTATGTACTAAGACGCTCAACACAGTATTAATAATGAAAAACTGGCCGGGCGCGGTGGCTCAAGCCTGTAATCCCAGCACTTTGGGAGGCCGAGGCGGGTGGATCACGAGGTCAAGAGATCGAGACCATCCTGGTCAACACGGTGAAACCCCGTCTCTACTAAAAATACAAAAAACTAGCTGGGCATGGTGGCGCCTGCCTGTAATCCCAGCTACTCAGGAGGCTGAGGCAGGAGAATTGCCTGAACCCAGGAGGCGGAGGTTGCGGTGAGCCGAGATCGCACCATTGCACTCCAGCCTGGGTAACAAGAGCAAAACTCCGTCTCAAAAAAAAAAAAAAAAGAAAAAAAGAAAAACTAGACAAAAGAGCCCAGCAATGGAGAGCTAATTAAATTACAATATACATACACACTGGAAAAATGCAATTAAAACTATGCAGATATGTATTCAACATCAGAGATTTACTACACAGGCTTTTTGAAAAGTCGGCTAAAAATACTTGTGTAAGATCTCATTGGCTCGGTGCAGTGGCTCATGCCTGTCTCAAAGCTTTGGGAGGCCAAGGTGGCGGATGGCTTGAGCCCAGGAATTCAACACCAGTGCAGGCAGTACAATGAAACCCTGTCTTTACAAAACATACAAAAACTATACCAAAATCTCAGAAATCACCACCAAAGAACTTACCTATGTAACCAAACACCACCTGTCTCCCCAAAACTACAGAAATAAGAAAAAATTAAACAAAAAATACAAAAATTAGCTGGACACATATCATTAGTGGTGGCAAGAGCCTGTAGTCGCAGCTACTCAGGGGGCCAATGTAGGAAGGTAAACTGAGCCCAGGAGGTTGAGGCAGCACCAAGCCGTGACTGCACCACTGTACTCCAGCATGGGTAACAGAACAAGACCCTGTTTCAAAAAACAAAGAAAAAGGGAAAAAAATAGGTCTTGCTTTTTGTTACATATACTCATGTGTATGCATGCATACACACACACACATATATATATATAAAACACTACACTCTACACATACACACTACACACACTGAGAGACAGACACACACATTTTTCTGTGTCCGTCTCTCAAGAGATTAGAAGGGTACACACTAAAATATCAACCCAGGGATAATTTATAACTAATTTTTCTTTTAGCTTAATTTTACTGTTAGCTTTATTTTTACTTAAGGAACATGAATTACTTGTGCAATCTTTTTAAGTTAAGAGAAAGACTGTACAGCAACTTAGGGAAATGCTTGGGATGAGAATCATAGCACAAAATATCTGAACTATTATTTCATCTAGAGTTAACTCTTGACTAGTCAGAATAAGAAGAGTGATGGTGAGAAGAATACTTAAAATCATGGTCAACACAAGTAATTCTCAAGGTGTGGTCCTGGGCTAGGAGATTCAGCCTCAATCTGAGAACTTAATAGAAATCTGATTTTTGGCCAGGCGTGGTGGCTCACGCCTATAATCCCAGCACTTTGGGAGGCTGAGGCAGGCGGATCACAAGGGCAAGAGATCAAGACCATCGTGGCCAACAAGGTGAAACCCCGTCTCTACTAAAAATACAAAAATTCGCCAGGTGTGGTGCCATGCACCTGTAATCCCAGCTACTGGGGAGGCTGAGGCAGGACAATTGCTTGAACCAAGGAGGCGGCGGTTGCAGTGAGCTGGGATCACATCATTGCACTCCAGCCTGGTGACAAAGCAAGACTCTATCTCAAAAAAAAAAAAAAAAGGACAAGAAATTCACTCTGTGACTCAGATTAAGCAGCCAGTGGCCTAAGGGTAGGCAGACAACAATGAACAGGAAGGAGGGTGTGTGCTACAATTGTGTACTTTTGGGTAAATTGTCCAGCCTATCTGCTTCCAATCTATTTAAGCAAGTGGTGGGAAAAGATAGATGACTGCATAAAATGGGAGTTCACTCTAAAAGGAGTAGCCTCGGAAGAGAAAGGAGTTAGCCTCTGACTCCCTCGTGATGGAGGTAATCATCCCCTCAGAAGGCTCCGCATGCAAGCCAGAAAACTCTGTGACATCAAGGACAAAAAGCTAAGTAACACTCAAACTTCTGACTGTTTCACTGCAGTCCAGGATGTACATAAACATACTTTGGAGACCTTAGGATTTTTTCTGTGTGGCCAATTTTTTTGTTTTCATTTGAATTTTAAATAAAAGTTTTGCAAGACATCTGAAAAGGATGGGAATAAACTGATCTGTATGCAATTAACCATTAAATGAAACATACTGAGTAAATAACTTTGTTTTTTACTTTATTTTCTTTATTTAGGGGCAGAGTTACTGTTGCCCAGGCTGGAGTACAATGGTGCAATCACAGCTCACTACAGCCTCAATCGATTCTCCCACCTGACCCTGCCAAGTAAGTGGGACTACAGACACATATATAACCCCATGCCTGGCTAATTTCCGTATTTTTAGTAGAGACAGTTTCCCATGTTGCCCAGGCTGGCCTTGAACTCTTGGCCTTACGCAATACTCCTGCTTTGGCCTCCCAAAGTGCTGGGATTACAGGCAGGAGCCATAGTACCTGGCTTACGTTGTTTTTAAATCCTCTGTTTTTAACAGAAAAGCTGAGAAAGGTGTTCTGAATCTCCTATTATGACTCCAGTTTAATTAAATTATCTGAGTTTCCAACCATTTTTTTCTTTTTTTTGGGGGGGGGGGTGGGTGGGTCGGAGTCTCCCTCTGTTGCCCAGGTTGGAGTGCAGTAGCACAATCTCTGCTCACTGCAACCTCCACCTCCCAGCTTCAAGCAATTCTCCTGCCTCAGACTTTCGAGTAGCTGAGACTACAGGAGCACATCACCACACCTGACTAATTTTGTATTTTTGTAGCGATGAAGGCTGGTCTTGAACTCCTGACCTAAGATGATCTGCCCACCTCAGCCTCCCAAAGTGCTGGGATTATAAACGTGAGCCACCATGCCCAGCCCTATTTCTTTCTTAATCTACTTCACATAAAAATTTCTGTTTAATAAAATTTAAAAATCTTGGCAGACTGTATCATCTTTATCAATAAAAAAACATCCTCTTTAGTCAGTTTAAGGATGTATCCTTAAATATAACCTCCTGGAAATAAAATTAAACCTCAAACCGTATTTCTAAATCATCTCTGGCTCAAAAAGAAATAAAAGGACAGAGGTCCTAGTTCTGTTATGGCAGTAGAACAACTCATCCCAATTTAACTGATTACAGCGAAAAACTCTGGACATGGTACAAAATAACAAACTAAAGACTTGGAAAAGTCAACAAGAGCAGGTGAAGTGAGGGGGAGGCAAAACTTGAAGCAGCAACCGCAGAGGATGAGTCTCTTGTTTTGCTCCTCTCCCGCGGCTCTGCCTGAGGGTAGACTCCAGTAAAGAAGCAGAACTGCCTCAGTGACCCTGCGGATGGCTAAAAACGCCATCTTTCTGGGCGAAAAAGTAAGAGGAGAATTCCAGAGTGAAGGGAGCCACAGAAGGAGATCTGATAATTCTGTCAAAGAACCCACACAAACCTCAGGCTCACCTCTGAGTTACTCATACATGAAATAGCCCCACCCCAGCTTTAAGAACTGAAGTGATATTTAAATACCTACACACAGAAGGTGAAACGGAACATGTGGTCTGGACCTGAAGAGCTTCAACATTTTCCAGAGGTTTATACAGGACCCAGAGTCAACACAGCATAACAGAACATACCACAATGTCCACAGTATGATCAAGAATTATTTTTTGGCACAGAAAGAACTTGGAAAATGTGACTACTTCTCAGGAGAACAATCAACAGATACCAATCCCTAAATGACCCAGATGTTGGATTTATCCAACAGTTGAAAACAGTAAGTATAACTATGCTCCAGGAGTTAAAGGAAAATACACTTGACATGAAAAGATGAACACTTCAGTAAATAAACTATAAAAAAGAACGAAGGAAATTATAGAACAGAAAAAATTAATATATGCAGTAAAACTCATTCAACAGACTCCAGAGCAGAATAAAAATAACAGGAGACAAAGTCAGTGAACAGTTAGGTCAACAGAAATTACCCAATCTGAAGAGAGAGGAAAAAAGATAGAGACAGACTCAAGGAGACCCACGAGATAGTAATGAAAAAGTCTACTATACGAGCCATTTGAGTGTCACAGGGAGAGACGAAAGAGATTAGAGAAGAAAAATATCAAAAACCT